AAAATTGCTGTTGAATTTTTCTTAAAACATCGATATTTTTCCAAAATCTGTCTGAACTCTGTCAACATGGAGTATTTTAATAAATTCCTATTACAATTTATTAAAGCAGTTTTCTAAAACGCGAAAAAACGGCTAAAATTAGTTTTCTAACATTGCTTTTTATAATGCAAAATGCGTCTGAACCCCCCCCCCCACCCAACCCCTCATCACACACACCGTCACAAAATTACGCCCCCCCCCCCCCCCAACGAGTGTGGCATCATTTATGGACGACCCCTTAGATCTACAAATGTGCACGCAAAAAAATGAACATTGAGTTTAGTTGTTAAAAAGACGAATCATTTTTTGTGAATTGTTCAAGTCATGGGAGAATTTATTTTTTTATCTGATATTTCATCAGAGAGAAAGTTCTTCGTTAGTTCTTGTGACAAGTTTTTTATTGACATCAATGTTAAATTAAATCCAAAAACATAAAAGTCTAACGACATGTGGTCCAACAACATATAAAGCAAACAAAGTCCCGTAAGACAACAACATGTAGATACAACACGTACGTTGGACAGAGCAGGCTAATTGTCGTGACTATACGAACTACATGACATGATTAGACAAAAACACTCCACATGACCAAATTAGTCGATTAATGTAGCGATAATTTAAATATTTATTTAATTTGATTTCTTGTACACACTCCAACGTTTGTTGACTAGTGTGTCATGTACACACTCCTACATTTGTTGACTAGTGTGTCGTGTACACACTCCTACATTTGTTGACTAGTGTGTCGTGTACACACTTCTACATTTGTTGACTAGTGTGTCGTGTGAACACTTCTACATTTGTTGACTGATGTGTCGTGTACACACTCCTACATTCGTTGACTAGTGTGTACACACTCCTACATTTGTTGACTAGTGTGTCGTGTACACACTTCTACATTTGTTGACTAATGTGTACACACTCCTACATTTGTTGACTCATGTGTCGTGTACACACTTCTACATTTGTTGACTGGTGTGTCGTGTACACACTTCTACATTTGTTGACTGATGTGTCGTGTACACACTCCTACATTCGTTGACTAGTGTGTACACACTCCTACTTTTGTTGACTAGTGTGTACACAATTCTACATTTGTTGACTAGTGTGTCGTGTACACACTCCTACATTTGTTGACTAGTGTGTACACACTCCTACATTTGTTGACTAGTGTGTCTTGTACGAACGCCTCCCACTCATGTAGCCTGCCAGCAGAGTGCTACGAGTGTGAGAACCGTTGAAACGGTTACCCGGTTTGCAGATCTGGTGCATGGCATGCGTGAGCAGCTCACGTTGAGCACACGGCGTGTGCGTTGTTCAGGTATCTCGTGCCATATAAGTCTCTAGCACGAGCGTGTTGAACTATTTCTTGGATCCCCGCCATTTTTTCTCCTGTCGGCCCGAGAAGTTACTGCTCTATGTAGACTACAATAATGGTAGCAGTTGGTGGTATATGTCGTTAGACAATGGGATGAAAAGACCCATGCTTATGATTGTTAAAGTCTAATTAATATTTTAAAAAATAAAAAGATACTTTCACTAAATGACCTGTAACATACTGAAGTAAACACACACACATTTGTATATATTATATATATATTATATATATATATATATATATATATATATATATATATATATATATATATATATATATATATAAATAATATATATATATGTTGTAGCACTAGGTCTAATGTTGTAGTTCTAGGTCTAATGTTGTAGCACTAGATCTAATGTTGTAGCATTCACTAGGTCTAATGTTTTAGCACTAGGTCTAATGTTGTAGCACTAGGTCTAATGTTGTAGCATTCACTAGGTCTAATGTTGTAGCACTATGTCTAATGTTGTAGTTCTAGGTCTAATGTTGTAGCACTAGATCTAATGTTGTAGCACTAGGTCTAATGTTGTAGCACTAGGTCTAATGTTGTAGCACTAGGTCTAATGTTGTAGCATTCACTAGATCTAATGTTGTAGCATTCACTAGATCTAATGTTGTAGCATTCACTAGGTCTAATGTTTTAACACTAGGTCTAATGTTGTAGCACTCACTAGATGTCTAATGTTGTAGCACTAGTTCTAATGTTGTAGCACTAGTTCTAATGTTGTAGCACTAGGTCTAATGTTGTAGCACTATGTCTAATGTTGTAGCACTAGTTCTAATGTTGTAGCACTAGTTCTAATGTTGTAGCCCTAGGTCTAATGTTGTAGCACTAGATCTAATGTTGTAGCACTCACTAGATGTCTAATGTTGTAGCCCTAGTTCTAATGTTGTAGCACTAGGTCTAATGTTGTAGCACTAGGTCTAATGTTGTAGCACTAGTTCTAACGTTGTAGCACTAGTTCTAATGTTGTAGCACTAGGTCTAATGTTGTAGCACTATGTCTAATGTTGTAGCACTAGTTCTAATGTTGTAGCATTCACTAGATCTAATGTTGTAGCATTCACTAGATCTAATGTTGTAGCATTCACTAGGTCTGATGTTTTAACACTAGGTCTAATGTTGTAGCACTCACTAGATGTCTAATGTTGTAGCACTAGGTCTAATGTTGTAGCACTAGTTCTAATGTTGTAGCACTAGGTCTAATGTTGTAGCACTCACTAGATGTCTAATGTTGTAGCACTAGTTCTAATGTTGTAGCACTAGTTCTAATGTTGTAGCACTAGTTCTAATGTTGTAGCACTAGGTCTAATGTTGTAGCACTAGGTCTAATGTTGTAGCACTAGGTCTAATGTTGTAGCACTAGGTCTAATGTTGTAGCACTAGTTCTAATGTTGTAGCACTAGTTCTAATGTTGTAGCACTAGGTCTAATGTTGTAGCACTATGTCTAATGTTGTAGCACTAGTTCTAATGTTGTAGCACTAGTTCTAATGTTGTAGCATTCACTAGATCTAATGTTGTAGCACTCACTAGATGTCTAATGTTGTAGCACTAGTTCTAATGTTGTAGCACTAGGTCTAATGTTGTAGCACTATGTCTAATGTTGTAGCACTAGTTCTAATGTTGTAGCACTAGTTCTAATGTTGTAGCACTAGTTCTAATGTTGTAGCACTAGTTCTAATGTTGTAGCACTCACTAGATGTCTAATGTTGTAGCCCTAGTTCTAATGTTGTAGCACTAGGTCTAATGTTGTAGCACTAGGTCTAATGTTGTAGCACTAGTTCTAATGTTGTAGCACTAGTTCTAATGTTGTAGCACTAGGTCTAATGTTGTAGCACTAGTTCTAATGTTGTAGCACTAGGTCTAATGTTGTAGCACTCACTAGATGTCTAATGTTGTAGCACTAGTTCTAATGTTGTAGCACTAGTTCTAATGTTGTAGCACTAGTTCTAATGTTGTAGCACTAGTTCTAATGTTGTAGCACTCACTAGTTCTAATGTTGTAGCACTAGTTCTAATGTTGTAGCACTCACTAGGCCTAATGTTGTAGCACTCACTAGGTCTAATGTTGTAGCACTAGGTCTAATGTTGTAGCACTAGTTCTAATGTTGTAGCACTAGTTCTAATGTTGTAGCACTAGTTCTAATGTTGTAGCCCTAGGTCTAATGTTGTAGCACTCACTAGGTCTAATGTTGTAGCACTAGTTCTAATGTTGTAGCACTAGGTCTAATGTTGTAGTACAAGGTCTAATGTTGTAGCACTAGGTCTAATGTTGTAGCACTAGATCTAATGTTGTAGCACTAGGTCTAATGTTGTAGCACTAGATCTAATGTTGTAGCCCTAGGTCTAATGTTGTAGCACTCACAAGGCCTAATGTTGTAGCACTCACTAGGTCTAATGTTGTAGCCCTAGTTCTAATGTTGTAGCCCTAGGTCTAATGTTGTAGCCCTAGTTCTAATGTTGTAGCCCTAGGTCTAATGTTGTAGCACTCACTAGGTCTAATGTTGTAGCCCTAGGTCTAATGTTGTAGCCCTAGGTCTAATGTTGTAGTACAAGGTCTAATGTTGTAATACAAGGTCTAATGTTGTAGCACTAGTTCTAATGTTGTAATACAAGGTCTAATGTTGTAGCACTAGATCTAATGTTGTAGCACTCACTAGATGTCTAATGTTGTAGCACTCACTAGGTCTAATGTTGTAGCCCTAGGTCTAATGTTGTAGCACTAGATCTAATGTTGTAGCACTCACTAGATGTCTAATGTTGTAGCACTCACTAGGTCTAATGTTGTAGCCCTAGTTCTAATGTTGTAGCCCTAGGTCTAATGTTGTAGCCCTAGTTCTAATGTTGTAGCCCTAGGTCTAATGTTGTAGCACTCACTAGGTCTAATGTTGTAGCCCTAGGTCTAATGTTGTAGCCCTAGGTCTAATGGTGTAGTACAAGGTCTAATGTTGTAATACAAGGTCTAATGTTGTAGCACTAGTTCTAATGTTGTAATACAAGGTCTAATGTTGTAGCACTAGTTCTAATGTTGTAATACAAGGTCTAATGATGTAGCACTAGGTCTAATGTTGTAGCAACCTTCGTTATCTGGCCTAGCTTGAATGCAAATGTTTAACCTCATAGCTTCGTCCACGTGATAGTTTTTGTACAATCAATTTAGTCTTGTGTTCTACATATTTTAGCGCGACCCATGGCTATTGTTGTTACTTCTGATCAACCAACCCAAACTCACGTTTAGCCCGAAGATCTTAGCTCGGAATTATCTAGGCCCTGTAAGGTTTTGAAAACTTTTGATAGGGCATATAATGCGTTTGTACCTGTTATACATAGGTGGTAACATTAACGATCTTTTATTGTAGCACAATCTGATAAAGAGTTACATTTGTGAAGTGTTAGAAAGTTTACTTATTTTTCGTTGATGTTTGATAAATATATATGTCACACATGAATAAAAGTACTTTAATTTTTTTTTTTTTTAAATTTGTTTCCAATGACGTTCGCCGATAACAAAAAACTGCTGAATAACTAACTCTAGCCTGAAATCTCACCTCTTGTACCTGTACACCCCCGCAGCTAAAGTGGGCCAGTCCCATCCTACCTGAGCACGAGCGTGCATACCCAGCCATCAGTACTATAAGGCATTGGCTGGAGACGTGCGTCTTTCTAGTGTATTTAATCCACCGCTGCCGGTGTATCATCGCCTCCTGCCTTTGTCAAACTTGTAGAGAACCATGGCTGTAAGTACCCCATTCTAAATTACCTTCTCCTAGACGAATTAATTAGACATTTATACTGTGAATGATTGCATTGTTGTGGTGATTTCTTCACTATATTTGATACAATTCGGAGATTTATTGAAATCAGGCGAAAAATGTGTTATATTGAGAGTTTAATTAACTGTAATGATAATAGATACATTAACAAACTTAATTAGCTAATTAAGAGCATAGTTCTTGCTTAAAAAACTTTCAAGGATATTCGTAATTTTGTTCTAGTGATTCATTGGAAATTGTCAAATAAATGTAAATTATAGTGTGAATGGTTGGTTATTTTTTTCAGTGCTTAATACTATGCAATGTGAAAACAATCAGATGTTTGTGTGATTGTATCTTTCAAAAGCAATAGCTTTAATTACACATCTAATTAAGTGAGAGATAAAAGGTGGGGATTACAGTCGAGAGAAGTGAGCGAGGTGGGCAGCACATCTGGTCAATGAATATTTTACATTGCCTAGTTACGGAAACTTGATAATTAATATGGCTTGACCGGCAGGTTGGCTTGACCGGCAGTTGTATTGACCGGTCAGTTGTTTTGACAGGTAGTTTAACCTGAATGACAGATTGTATTGACAGGTAGTTTGAATAGACCAGGAAACGCCTGTAGATAGTTGAAGCCAGAGTTTAACATACCACCAGACCTCCTGGTATATGGAGGTCTGGTGGTCCACGCAATACTTTTGTAATTTCCTCTCTAGCGTGTTTTAATATCTAGAGTTACAGTAAGGCTTATCAAAGTAAAATAACTCGGGTTTTTTTAAAAATAATACTTGCGTGTAGGCCAACGAGTAACATTACTTGACTGGTTTAAGTAAGGTAACCCCGGCTTAATACAGTAAGGTAACATTTTAAAGTAAAGTAACTCGACGTGTTAAAGAAAGATAACTGGTTTATTAAAGTGAGATAACTCCCCTAAGAAAGATAATTCGGTTTGTTCAAGTAACTCTTTTTTTTTAAAAATATCTCCCAGTTTCTATTTATTTAATCAGGCCAACACCTAGCTCTATTAGAGGGTACCACTTGATTGGTACAGGTAGATAAGATCCGCTCATGGTGTAGAGGATAACCACAGCTAGTAAAGTTCCCTGACGGTCCATGGTAGATTATGTGACCTCGGCATATGAAGGGTTTGTGTGGTCAGCACCATGCCCAGCCGTCTTTTCTTTCCCTAACGTACTTACGGGTTAGCATTCTATCGCTCTACCGCTAGGCCACGCCGTTCCAAAGCCCAAGCTCGACAGGTTTAATTTTAAAGCTGGTACAGATCTACTCATGTTTTGTTCATCAATTGCCAGAATCAGGTCTATACCAGAAAATAATTGGTGGAGAATTCGTATTAAAACAAATACTATGAATGTAGGTAGGGGGCATACAATATCGTAGTTTTTTGCAGTCATGGGAAGTAACTGCTACTTGAAGAAAGCAAATATTTTCATGTGAAACTGACTGAGCTCCCCTTGATTCCACAGACTGATCTATCCAGAGACGAGATCGAAGGTAACTCTCACCCATTTGTTTTCTCCCCTCGTGGAATGTTTCTCATAGCATCAGCGCCGATAGCCCTGGAGCAACCACGGCTCTACGTGGGACCCTCGTTGTGTGCGCCTGCCCTCACGTCATCGTTTGCTGTGTTTTAACTACCCGCAACCTTCACCGGTGTGTTATCCCCCCTTCCATACCTCCACTCTACCCACTTACTATCTAGTATGTTTCTCCCTGATTTTGATTTTTCTTTTGATTTTCTTTTTTTTTTAAATTTTCCTTCACTTATCATCAAGCATTTATCTCCCTTTCGTTTCGTGCATTTCGAAAGTAGAACATTTTTCCTGTACCTCAACTCCCCCCCCCCCCCCCCCCCCCCCACCTTCATTCCATCAACGGTATTTGCATTTCCATAGCATAGATTTTCTATTTAAATGATATATCTATAATCTCAGAACCCTACTCTGCATTTTCTAATCAGAGTTTCTTCCAGGCATCTCTTCGGGGGGGCGAAGCCCCCCCGAAAAATTTTTACCGCCCCCCCGAACGAAATGAAATTTATATAATTTATATAGAAAATATATACTTTTAACAGTGTCCGCCCCCCCGAAGAAAGTTTACCGCCCCCCGAAGATTTCAAGTGCACCCCCGGAGAAAAAAGTCTGGAAGAAACACTGTTTCTAATCCATCTATCAATATTTTTACCCTCTCATTACCTTCCCAGTACCTTCCCATACACCAAACAGTTACCTCTATTTGAATTGCTTCCCCTTTGAGTCATCTTAGAATCTAATTCCTTCTTCTAATTCAGTATGTCATGCAATAACGTAAGTTGTGTTGCATTAATGCCATTTTTAAAAATATCCTCCATCGGCAAACATTAAAGTTGGTTTAGATGGAATGTAAGTATGTTGTGCTAACTGTAAATAAACTAAATATGTTGTTGCCTATGGTAGCCATTAGAGATTAGACCTACACCAGAAGGAAATTTTTTACAACTGATGTAGAGCGTTATTTTCTTGGAAAGATTTAAAAAAAATAGATTGATCTAGGTTGTCTGATTAAAACTTTTCATATAGAATCTAATTTTAATAAATACAATTATTAACATCATGCTAGATCTGTGATGTGCTGAATAGGGCACATTTCTACCCATATGTAACCATGGCAACCGGTTGTAGGAGAGCGCATAAAGATCAGCCACGTAACGGGTCAGGTTTTTAGGGCACGGTAGGCAAAGCTGGGTTGCCAGGTAAATCAACAATTTGGCACACCGTTGCTTGTGGGGGAGAGGGGGGGGGGAGGCGAGGGTGGAAGAATTTATTTGTTATTTATCTACGGTTACAAATTGTGTGCGCATTTCCCAAAATACGGCATTAATTAAACATATACAGTTGCTTCAAGAGCACTTTTAATTATTTAAAAAAAAATAGTGACTGTTAAAAAGATAGAATCATACTATTTGAGTTCAAGTATTAAAAAAAATAATTATCATACTATGTATACCTATTAAAGCAAAATGATACTTCATTATTTGTGACATTCGCTTTTAATTTTTGTGCTCTGCCGCATTACACTTTATATAGGCCTGCGTGTTTGCGTGTTTCAAAGATGTTTCTAGTTTAGCACAAGTACCAGCTTCATGTCGCGTTAGACCAGTAGACAAAAATAGAAACACGCAAATTTGCGATATACTTCATGATCCTGCATGCTCTTCTCTGCATTACGTCACTAGAGACATTAACAAAATACATCACTTTTGGCAATATAGACTAAATCTAACAATGACTGAAATAAAAGTCATATGATTTTCTTTTATCTGCTCAATAACGCAATAAAGTGTGTAAGCTATTTTTTAAAAGGATAAATAGGTGTGTTCAGCAGCTTTATACAACAGAGTCTGCAACAAAAACTTGTTTGAGAGTTTACAGAAGAGGCTCTCTAAATAAAAGATAAACGTCTGTTCTGCCCAACCTAGAGTTTTGTTTGCCACTAGATTTCGAATGCCCATTATTCTAACCTTGAACGCCATAATTCTAACCTTGAACACCATAATTCTAACCTTGAACTAGCTGTGTGCTGAGCTGTTGTTTTATCCTTGATCACAGAGATCAAAGACGTGTTCGAACTGTTCGATTTCTGGGACGGTCGTGACGGTGAGGTCGATGCCTTCAAGACAGGTCACATGTTGTACTGCCTGGGGTTGAACCCAACCCTCGGCACCGTCAAGAAGAACGGAGGAACCGACAAACTGGGTAGGTGACTGGACAACATACTGGGTAGGTGACTGGACAACATACTGGGTAGGTGACTGGACAACATACTGGGTAGGTGACTGGACAACAAACTGGGTAGGTGACTGGACAACATACTGGGTAGGTGACTGGACAACACACTGGGTAGGTGACTGGACAACATACTGGGTAGGTGACTGGACAACATACTGGGTAGGTGACTGGACAACATACTGGGTAGGTGACTGGACAACATACTGGGTAGGTGACTGGACAACATACTGGGTAGGTGACTGGACAACATACCCAACACACTGGGTAGGTGACTGGACAACATACTGGGTAGGTGACTGGACAACATACTGGGTAGGTGACTGGACAACAAACTGGGTAAGTGACTGGACAACATACCCAATAAACTGGGTAGGTGACTGGACAACATACTGGGTAGGTGACTGGACAACATACCCAATATACTGGGTAGGTGACTGGACAACAAACTGAGTAGGTGACTGGACAACATACTGGATAGGTGACTGGACAACATACCCAACACACTGGGTAGGTGACTGGACAACATACTGGGTAGGTGACTGGACAACATACTGGGTAGGTGACTGGACAACATACCCAACACACTGGGTAGGTGACTGGACAACATACTGGGTAGGTGACTGGACAACAAACTGGGTAGGTGACTGGACAACATACCCAACACACTGGGTAGGTGACTGGACAACATACTGGGTAGGTGACTGGACAACATACTGGGTAGGTGACTGGACAACAAACTGGGTAGGTGACTGGACAACAAACTGGGTAGGTGACTGGACAACATACCCAACAAACTGGGTAGGTGACTGGACAACATACTGGGTAGGTGACTGGACAACAAACTGGGTAGGTGACTGGACAACAAACTGGGTAGGTGACTGGACAACAAACTGGGTAGGTGACTGGACAACATACCCAACAAACTGGGTAGGTGACTAGACAACATACAAAAACAAACTGGGTAGGTGACTGGACAACAAACTGAGTAGGTGACTGGACAACAAACTGGGTAGGTGACTGGACAACAAACTGGGTAGGTGACTGGACAACACACTGGGTAGGTGACTGGACAACAAACTGAGTAGGTGACTGGACAACAAACTGGGTAGGTGACTGGACAACAAACTGAGTAGGTGACTGGACAACAAACTGGGTAGGTGACTGGACAACAAACTGGGTAGGTGACTGGACAACATACTGGGTAGGTGACTGGACAACATACCCAACACACTGGGTAGGTGACTGGACAACACACTGGGTAGGTGACTGGGCAACATACTGGGTAGGTGACTGGACAACAAACTGGGTAGGTGACTGGACAACATACCCAACACACTGGGTAGGTGACTGGACAACACACTGGGTAGGTGACTGGGCAACATACTGGGTAGGTGACTGGACAACAAACTGGGTAGGTGACTGGACAACAAACTGGGTAGGTGACTGGACAACATACCCAACAAACTAGGTGACTGGACAACATACCCAACATACTGGGTAGGTGACTGGACAACAAAGTAAAAGTTTAAAAAGAACTTCCAATATTATAGTAAAGCATAGATTTCTGTAGTTTAAAAAAAAATAGTCAGTGCGTATACTCTAACTACCTGTGAGTACCAACATGTCTACCACTTTTTACAGGAGAGAAAGCCTACAAACTAGAGGAGTTTCTGCCCATCTTCTCAGCTGTTTCTAAAGAAAAAGACACTGGCACCTTCGCTGACTTCAATGAAGCTTTCAAGACTTTCGATCGTGAGGGCCAGGGGTTCATTTCAGCAGCCGAGATGAGGCACGTCCTAACATGTCTTGGTAAGTGGACCAACACTCTTTGTGTCTAGGGGCAACGGGCTAACACTCTGTGTATAGGGGCAACGGGCTAACACACTTTGTGTATAGGGGCAACGGGCTAACACTCTTTGTGTATAGGGGCAACGGGCTAACACTCTTTGTGTATAGGGGCAACGGGCTAACACTCTGTGTCTAGGGGCAACGGGCTAACACTCTGTGTCTAGGGGCAACGGGCTAACACTCTTTGTGTATAGGGGCAACGGGCTAACACTCTTTGTGTATAGGGGCAACGGGCTAACACTCTTTGTGTATAGGGGCAACGGGCTAACACTCTTTGTGTATAGGGGCAACGGGCTAACACTCTTTGTGTATAGGGGCAACGGGCTAACACTCTTTGTGTATAGGGGCAACGGGCTAACACTCTTTGTGTATAGGGGCAACGGGCTAACACTCTTTGTGTATAGGGGCACGGGCTAACACTAGGGGCAACGGGCTAACAATAGGGGCAACGGGCTAACACTCTTTGTGTATAGGGGCTACGGGCTAACACTAGGGGCAACGGGCTAACACTAGGGGCAACGGGCTAACACTCTTTGTGTATAGGGGCAACGGTCTAACACATTGTGTATGGGCAATAATATCCCGGGGGGGGGGGAAGAGTCTACCAAATATAACGTCACACACCTAATGAGGAAAAGAGTTCAAAGATTTGAGGAAGGGAGTAAAGAAATGTCTCGCAGTAAAAAGTTAGGTAAATAAAATGCGTTTAGCATAATGTCTATTTTATTTGGGGGTGGGGAAGGACTATTTGACGTCAGTGTTGAGAGGTGAGTCTCAAACATAAGTGAGAGATGCTGAAGACGATACAATAAAACGTACACAAGTGAAGTTAATGATAGAATCTATTAGGCCTCCATGTGTACATGCGCCTGGTGAATTAAAAACAGACTTGTTTAGACATTTAAAATTGTTATCTAATTTTTCAAAGTAAATGTGAAATTTATGACGATCGTGTAGCCAATCTGATTCCTGTAAATTTCTCTGCCGATTTCAGGAGAAAAACTCAAGGACGCTGAAGTGGACGAAATCATTCAGGCCACAGATACCAGAGAAGATTTGGAAGGAAACATTAAATACGAAGGTGGGGAAGGCTTTCGCCTGTTCATTTTAAATTCTCCTTATACACTAACATTTGTTTAAAAATAGAATTAAAACATGGTTGTGATAATTGAGGCGAAGGTGCAAAATTATTAAATTGCGTCAATATAGATCATGAAAAGTTAAACAGTAGGTACTCGAAGTGAGGCAGTATTTTAATAATGTAGGGGAGATAATAGTTAGACAATGTAGGGGAGATAATAGTTAGACAATGTAGGGGAGATAATAGTTAGACAATGTAGGGGAGATAATGCCTACTTAATTTTTATTTTTTAATACATTTTTTTCCCCAGATTTCATCCAGAAAATCTTGAAAGGACCATATGAATAAGGTCACCACCCCCCTCAGGCATTCAGAAACCAGACTTACTCTCTCATCTCTTTATCACTAAAAAAACATTTTCCAAAGTTCATTTTTCAAAATTTGACGACAAAAAAGTAAAACACCTGAAAATTTGGTCTCATCTGGCTAGTGTTACATAAGTTTCTGTACTTCTTGAAAATTCTCTTCACAATTTAAAAATAGATCAGTTTTCAGTTTATTTTTACTACAAAAAGTTAAAGTTGAAAGCTATGATCTGTTGGCTAGAACCCATGTGTGTGTGGAAGGTTTTGTCTTGTCTGTGTGAGGTCCATGTGAACACCTGTCGAACACCTGTCGAACACCTGTCGATAAATGCATTTGTTTGTCTTTGGTAGACATGTTTTGAGTGTGGCCAGTTATTTCTTAACCTGCAACATGTGACGCAACATGTAATGTTTTAAAGTTAAGAAGTGCATTGTACAGGAATAGTTTTATAACTCAACTGATCCAACTCAGCTGCAGTTAGAACCCAACTGGAGACACTCTGACACCGAGCTACAAGACATCTGTTTACCTTTGTATGAATCCATGACACAAACAGGCGGAGAGATAAACACTGAGGATCACCATAGCAACCAACAATAACAGAACAACTTGGCATGTGAAACTGGGACAGTAATATTAAAACAACTTGAAGGCATCTTATAAGAAGACTGCTGAAACTAACATCCAACTGTTGTTAAGAATTATCCACCTTTAAATCAGGCTATTGTATCCACAGTGTTATCCGTGTGTGTGTTTGGAACCAATTAAAAAAAAGATTTGAAATTTTTTGTTTTTGTTAAAATGATTTTTAAAAAACTTATTATGGCATACAGGTATGATACAGGTGTATGAAAACCACCAAATTATTTATGTGAGAACAAGTTGGGGTCTGTGGTGGCATCACAAAATGAATGTTTGTCTTTGAGTTCGTGGAGTGAACAAAATGGGAGATAATTTTTATCTTTGAGTTGGTGGAGTGAACAAAATGGGAGATAACTTTCATCTTTGTATTGGTGGAGTGAACAAAATGGGAGATAATTTTTATCTTTGAGTTGGTGGAGTGAACTTCTTCTTCTTTGTTCTTAATTATTAGTGTTGAAGGGGATCGAGATTTATCTGCCAGTGGGTTTGAACTCGAGACTTTGTTCGAATTTATCAACCATGAGCTTTTTGCCGACTCGACCACGCCTCCAACACAATTAAGCGTTACGTGTCAACTGGTTATGCCATTGGTGAGGCCATTGACTCCGATTTCAGCCTGCTTTTCTTTTTGGATTTGCTTCCATAGCCTTTGTCCAACCAAGAACAAACTACAAGGCAGCAGTTGTTTTAATTTTGGAGTTGTCTCTCCTAGAAGAGTGGCGGTTCCCAGCTAACGAGCCTCATCTGCCCGAGGGTTCGAGCTCGAAACTTTTCGGTTTAGCAACCATGAGCTTTACCGACTCGACCACGCCGACCCCCTGTGGAGTGAACAAAATGGGAGATAATTTTTATCTTTGAGTTGGTGGAGTGAACAAAATGGGAGATAATTTCATCTCTGAGATGGTGGAGTAAGCTAAAAAACAGCCATCAGAAAAAAGATCTCTTAATATTAACTTTATTTTGTCTCAAGCAAGTTCAGTGAATGAATGCTTACATAATTTACAGTGCTAATGATGAAATTAAAATGAACACTGATGATGAGTGTTTGAAATTAGAACATGACAATGAGATGATATGCTTTCTGGGTTTTTGAGAATACACTTCAATGGATATTGGTTAAATTATTAGCATAACCTCTTGGAAAAACCAGAAATAGACAAATTTGCTTCCTTTTTTAAAAAAATGCACACAATTAAAGAACACTGTTAATATATTTTAACAAACCTCTATCAAACAGAATATGGAGAATAATGTTTAGTCTTTTGTTGAGGATTTCACCATACATTTTTAATAAATTGAGTTCACTGTGAAATTTAATAACTTAAGTAAACTGAATTCACCCATACATTTTAATAAACTAAGTTCACCATTAATTTTAATAAATTGAACTCAGTATACATTTTAGCAATCTGAATTCACCAACTAATTTTAATACACAGAGTTCACCATGAAGTTTAATGAACTGGAACTGGCAGTAAAATTTGTGCACTGTACTCAATTGTGGAACAAGGGAAACAACCATCAATTGAACAAAAAATATTTTCATTTGTAACAAACTTGTTAACAGCTAAATATTACTTCATTGAACAAAAATGTTCTGTACATATATTTATTGATACTTTAAAAAATATAACTCAAATAAAAAGTGTCCCATGCTAAATAGTACCACAGGTTTTATACAGCTCTAAATATAGTAAGCAGGTAGCAGCCTGTTGGTTCTGGGGAATAAAATATTGTTATATGAGGTAGCACATTTGGCTATGTTTTGAGGTATACAAACAACAAAATCTGGAATATACACAGTACTTTCTGTCTATCTGTATAAGTACAAAATGGAAAAATGTTTTAGCATACATATCAATACAGCTACATCGATTATTAAATAATGATTCAATCAGAAGACATTTGACATTTTTGGTCAAATACACAAAAGACCAATTTAAAGCACACGGAAAAATGACTTCAGCTGTTCAGGTTTCATGTAATGAACTTAAAGTTGTTTCTTTTATTTATGTAAAAGATTGATTTAATGCCTTTTATTACAAAATTTTAACCTGTAGTTATTTAAACAGTATAATTAATTAATTAATTAACCAATATAAAAAAAATGAAGGAGTAGAAAAAATGCTAAGTACCACATGGAAATAAATGCTAAAGGTAAAAAAGTTGTATGAATCATTTATATACATTACAAGTGAGAGAAAAAATGATTGTACCATTCAATTGTAAAAATCATCTCAAAATTTAAATTAATACTGCTGTGGTTAGGTTGTGTGTCAGATTAAAAAATCTGACCAGGAGCTGCAAGGTTCACTTACAGGCAAGAAAAAACTGGGCACTTGATTGTTCTAAAAATTTTGGGAGATGCTTGTAAAAAAATTTCATGGACAAGATTATTTGTTTGCTAAATTAATAAAGAAGCTATCACAAGTAAAATTTCAGGTCAGAAAACAAGGGAACAAAGTGAATAAGCAGAAAATATACAATCACTAATTTTCAAAAGTATATAGTCTTTTACATCCATTTAACATTTATTTAGATACATCTTTAAGATATTATATTTGTAAATTTTGTTTAAATAACAATACAAAAAGTTACTACATAGTGTTACATTTATGTGTAAATCATCAAACTATAAGTACAATATTCCAATAAATTGTTACACAACCGTTACATAAAAAAATTGTTCAGTCAATTGAAATCAGCATTTGAAAAAAAAATTGTATTCTACAGCAGGGGTGAAGCATGGAGTTTTTTCAACAACCAAAAAATGTTTCATAACATTACACAAATTTTGAAAAAAAATGCATTTCATAACATGAAACATTTTCAAAATAAGTGCAGTTTAAAACATTTAGAATTTTTTTTAATGAAAACAATAAGGCTAAGGAAAATGTTCAACAGTTCAAATTTTTTATTGTGGCTTTACATTACAACACAGCCACTCTCATTGCTTCTGTTGTGGCTTTAAGGATATAAAACATTAATCTTCTCAAAATTTAAGACATCAGATCTTTGAATCTAAAACTTAAGATTCATGCCATTTGTTCAATAGTAAAAAAAACAGCAGAGAAAATTAAGCCACAATAAATGTTGTATCCTAAAATGTTGGAACTTGGTGGACGGAATCACACAAAAATTGACAAGTTTGGTTTTTATTTCCAGTACACAAAACTTTTAAGATGTTTCAAAGACAGACAAAATATCAAACATTTTGTTTGATAAATGACTTATGGCTCTATAATCAATATAAATTCTATATGAGGTATAATTTAACTGCACATTAATACCAATATATAATAATAAATGAGGTAAAAAATAACTGCACATTAACTAACAACATGTCTAATAAATAAGGTAAAAAATAACTGCACATTAACTAACAATATGTCTAATAAATGAGGTAAAAAATAACTGCACATTAACTAACAATATGTCTAATAAATGAGGTAAAAAATAACTGCACATTTACTAACAATATGTCTAATAAATGAGGTAAAAAATAACTGCACATTAACTAACAATATGTCTAATAAATGAGGTAAAAATAACTGCACATTTACTAACAATATGTCTAATAAAAGAGGTAAAAAATAACTGCACATTTACTAACGATATGTCTAATAAAAGAGGTAAAAAATAACTGCACATTTACTAACAATGTCTTATAAATGAGGTGAAAAATATTGTCCACATCAAAAGTCTAATGATGTGAGAAAGTGCTCAAAATTCACATTTTTATTAAAGGTAAAACTCCTCAGCATATAAATGTGCAGCAGTCTTAAGGCTTGCGATGAAAATATTTACATTGAAGGCAATACACACGACCTACTTTTACCTGGCTAGTTACAGCTATAACAGTGAAGATGCAGTAAACACATACAGAGTGAAAAATGCTAAAAACAGACATCTGTCAATGACTCTGCCAAGCTCCTCCCACTCCTGGTTGATATTTTCATAAGAAACTTCAGCAATCATCTTGCCGACAATGTACTTGATGTTTGCGTTGATCTGAGACATGAGCTTGCCTCCGTCCTCGTGTGCATGCAACATGTGCTCACTCACACCTTCCAAGTCCTGGACGCCAGACATCTGAAGGTCAGCGCTGTAGAGATTTCCTATTGGGCTGTAGTCACCTATACAGAGGACTCGGCGCAAACTCCGTCTGCCAAGAAATATCTAAACAGAAACAAGAAACAGAACTCCAAACATCTGTTTATAAAATTAAACCTTAACCTAACTAATGTAAAGCAAGATTATTAAAAACTTCTAGATAATTATATTTAAAAACCCACTACAAATAGTTTGGTTTTATTATTTAAATTCGAAGCAAAATGATGAAATATTTCTGGACAAATAGTTTTTAAAAAAAGGTTTTTTTAATTGTTTAACAAAAGGATGGGATGATTAATTGAGTCATTACTTTTCTATTTTATATAGGTTGTATAATTATGACTTTTATTTTTAGTTAGTAAAACAAACTACTCATGTCATGTTAGTGACAGGACCAGGTAAGAAAAAGGTAAGCAATTACAAAGGTAAGCAATTACAAAGGTAAGCAATTACAAAGGGAAGCAATTACAAAGGGAAGCAATTACAAAGGGAAGCAATTACAAAGGGAAGCAATTACAAAGGGAAGCAATTACCGCATGTATCCAAGCTGGCACAGGTTTCCTTCTGGCTCCCCTGACACTGATGTTGGCCACAACCACGGATGTGATGATGCTCATGCAGGTCAAGATCATTGTGCCCAGGTAGAAGGAACCTTTGGGCAGTGAGTTGAATAATTAAATAGACATTACATTTTTCACTACCCTTTAAAGCATTTTTACTTCAGTTGCCATACTTGGCTGCATCACAATGTAACATTTATCTGTTGTAGGTAAGTAAAGTGCTCTTTCAGAAGTTGTGATGTATGTGTTCATCTGTATCTGTGACTGACTTGTAAGGGGTTGGTGTGGTCAGCTCTATGACCAGCTGCCTTTCTCTCCCTGACTCAGGTCAGGTACCCATCAGATCTGGGTGGACTCAAGGACTTTTCTACAGTCTCACAGAAGCAAACTTTTAACTCTCTCTGTTGGCAGTTGTGTGTGCTACAGCTCAACCACATCCTTCCTTAGCTACTGTAAAAGTGCTTTTTGTTATTTAACATAAACAAAAATAATTTGATCAACTTACAAATTTTAGGCAGTGTTCCGTGGTTAAATGGGATAGCTTGTTGTAAAATACTCATCAAAATAGTCAGGCTTAGCAACAGAAGCAACCCTAAACAAAAGATTACAAACACAAGTCTAGAAAACCTCTCAGACAACAACTTTAAGTTACATCAAATTTTGTTACACTTTTTACCAGAAATTAATCACATACACATAAATAAGTCAACAGACAAAACGTACCAAAAATACTTTTATCATGTCTTGGGTTGGGGACCAAGTATATAACTGGCACCAAGAGGCCCATGACAGCAGCAGGTCCAATGGTCAGGTACCTATAAAACTGGGGGCGTCGACGCAGCTGCACAGTGATTGTGATGAGGGTGAAAGGTTGTGGGCAGCATTCATATTTTTTAAATGAGAGCTTAGCATGAGCCTTGTTGTCCACAAGTTCCCATTGTGGATGCTGGTGTACAAGGTATGATGAATCTTCTTCATTCAGCATCACATCCATTTCTGTCTTCTTAGATAGAAACTAAAATGGAAGCAGAAAGCAGAATAACCTTCTATTTTAGAACAGGGAACATATCATCACAAAATGTGTTTATATATTTTGTGAAATACCAAAATATTGCTTATGCTACAGGATATCATTAATGTATATTTGTATCTTATTAAAAATACAGTTTTACAGTCGAGTAAATATTTTGTTTTTAAAATGTCACCAAAATAAAATAAAAGGGCACCATTAAATAAAACCAACTAACCATAACATTCATCTCCCAACTAGTGTGTTAAATAAAAACCAACTAACCATAACGTTCATCTCCCAACTAGTGTGTTAAATTAAAACCAACTAACCATAACATTCATCTCCCAACTAGTGTGTTAAATAAAAACCAACTAACCATAACATTCATCTCCCAACTAGTGTGTTAAATAAAAACCAACTAACCATAACATTCATCTCCCAACTAGTGTGTTAAATTAAAAAACCAACTAACCATAACATTTATCTCCCAACTAGTGTGTTAAATAAAAAAAACCAACTGACCGTGACATTCATCTCCCAACTAGTGTGCATCCAGGAACCAAAGACCATGCTACAGGTCTGGACATCATAAGGAAAGTCCTGCAGGTCCATGGGACAGGTACTGTACAGGGTCAACATGGGCACAAACACAATGCCCCCATCTGCTGTTACAGTCACGGTCTCCTCGTACAGGGACTGGGGTGGGGTCTTGGCTGCCCTGCAGAAAATACAGCTAAGTCAGTGCTACCCAACAATACAAATACAGCACACAGTCAGTGCTAACCAACAATACAAATACAGCACACAGTCAGTGCTACCCAACAATACAAATACACCACACAGTCAGTGCTACCCAACAATACAAATACAGCACACAGTCAGTGCTACCCAACAATACAAATACAGCACACAATCAGTGCTACCCAGCAATACAAATACAGCACACAGTCAGTGCTACCCAACAATACAAATACAGCTAAGTCAGTGCTACCCAACAATACAAATATAGCTAAGTCAGTGCTACCCAACAATACAAATACAGCACAGTCAGTGCTACCCAACAATACAAATACACCAAAGTCAGTGCTACCCAACAATACAAATACAGCACACAGTCAGTGCTACCCAACAATACAAATACAGCTAAGTCAGTGCTACCCAACAATACAAATATAGCTAAGTCAATGCTACCCAACAATACAAATACAGCACAGTCAGTGCTACCCAACAATACAAATACAGCACACAGTGCTACCCAACAATACAAATACACCACACAGTCAGTGCTACCCAACAATACAAATACACCACAGTCAGTGCTACCCAACAATACAAATACAGCACACAGTCAGTGCTATCCAATTTTAGTTTTTTATGAAAGTAATCATACAAAAAAATAGAAATAGATAAGTATATTAAAAGTTTAACCAATGTAATTAATAAGATAGAAGAAAGAATTAACAAATAATTAGGATGACATACACATTATACAAAACCAGATCTGGAGTCCAAAGCTTGCTGGCAGGGAGGCGAACAGAACGAACTCCACCAAACTCTGAACTGTTCCATTTCAATCTAGGATCATTCCACATCTAAAGATATGCATTCATACAGCTTTACAAATGTTTACTTGGTCTTAAATAAATTAACTCTAAGACTCTATGCAGCACATCTAAAGAGATGCATTCATACAGCTTTACTAATGTTTACTTGGTCTTAAATAAATTAACTCTAAGACTCTATGCAGCACACATTAAACTAACTGGAATAACACACAAAACCAGGCACCTGCATGGGAGCCATAAGAACTTTAGTAGCAGACTTTTGAAATTTAATGAAATAATTTAAGAAAGATTTAGCGATGGAATTACCTGAACAATGAAGACTGAAGATGAAAATGTATCTGAGGCTTCATCCTATTGTCATGTAAATGTTTCAAGTTAGGAAAACAAAGATAAGTAAATCGCTAAAAACATGTAGTAAACTAAGAGTTAAAAAATAGTTTTAATAACAAAAAAACTACAGGTTAAAATTGGTAGACATGAATTTATAACGAATGTGTAGACTAGAGGCTACATTTTATTTACCAGATCTTCAATCCTGACAAATGAAAACTTGACAGAAACAGACACAGCTTCATTTGGGTTTGTAACTGGCCGAGCCTCTTTGACGTAGTTACCCAGCAGTGTTCTGATCAAGCTTTCTTCATGAAAGGTGTAAGTTTTCTTCTGTGGCTGCTGACCTATACCCAAACCACACACAGTTATACATTAACTGGCAAGTCATTATTTCAGAATACTCAGACATAAAACTCTGGCATTCCAAAAATATTTTTTCTTCTGTGACTTACATTTAAACCATCAGTCATGAATTTAAGGATATGTATATAAAACAAATAATTTAAAAATGGATAAACTTGAGAAGATATTAAACAGCACTTAACTGGCATGCCAAAACTTATTAGAAACTTGTCAGATGTATCAAATTTAATGCTCCAAGTCTTTATGTCCTGGTAGGTTGCATTTACATTAAGATTCCTTAAGTTCTGACACAAAGTTTAACTTTTGACTTACTGAACCTAAATAGCCTACCTTTGTTGGGAGAGAAACAGAACAATGACAGAAGCAGCAGAACACCAATTTTCTGTTCAAACATTCCTGCTCATTAACATTGCAGATCAAACGTTGGCTACAAATCTTTCTGGTTAGTGAAGTAAAGATTACAGTGAAATAATGCATAAGACATGAATTGACAAATATGCTACAAATCTTTCTGGTTACTGAAGTAAAGATTAGAGTGAAATAATGCATAAGACATGAATTGAAAAATATGCTACAAATCTTTCTGGTTACTGAAGTAAAGATTAGAGTGAAATAATGTATAAAACATGAATTGACAAATAAGATGAGATTATACACTAAACTGGAGCACTTGTCACATACTTCACACAACTATAAGCTGCCATGAATTTATAGCCTGGTGTTTAAAACAGAAAAAAAATGTTGCAAAAGACACAAAAATATTTTTAGAAACTTTAAAAATAATTTAAATACTACTGGAGAGGACATTGTTTATTTTAGCTTTTTTCTAATTTTCATGATTACTGGTGTTTTTAAATTAAATACAAATTTAAAAATTGGAAATGTTAAATTAATTATTGACTTTCTATTTAAACAATTTAATCATCCAGAGAAAAAATATAATCTGCTGAAAAGATTGGCCTTTCTATGCTGGGTCTGAGTCAAATGAGATTATTGATCCAGAGCTATATTTAAAGAAATTTAAAATGTTATCTCCAAAATTTTTTGGGTGTGAAATCATTAAAGTACAAAGAAAACTAAAGCCCTGAGCTGATGAAATAAGAAATGTGTTCTGTTGTCCTGGTGGTGAAAGAGCTTGCCAGTTGTTGTTTGTCACCCTATCAAATCTTTTCATTCTACTTCTAAATTTAACAACCACTCTTTTTAAAATAAAATTAAAAAAATTGTAATACAATAAACAGCAGCATACAGGATTTAATGAATTAAAATTGATCTTTGCATTTTTATGTAGGGATGGTGGTTTGATTTAGCTAGGGTCAGGTTTATCATAGTTTAAGGCAGGTTGAGGTGCTTGCTAGGCAAAATGTATTAGCAATTTCTCTTTCAGGAGACATTTTGTGCTGGATGGGCATTTATAACAATTTAAACATGAAAAAAATACAAACTGTTCCAAAACAAAAAGGAGGTAACAAAATACTGAGATCATCAGTAGTATACATATATTAACAATGTTGAAGGTATTACAAGGGAGAGAGATATAATTATATATCTAATTTTAACTGAGTTATCGCAGTCCAAAACATAAAGGTGTTGACATAGAAAAAAGATTTAAGTTGATGGTTGGGTAGAAGTTCTAGCATCCAACACCCCAGATTTCTGGCTTTATTTGTTTACAGCCACTTCATTAAGAAGCTCATGTAAAATTAAGTCTATTTTAATTTCCATGAAATACTTGTTGATATTAGATTTTTCTAGTAATTAATTTGTCAGTTATAGACTTCCTCACCAGGAGGCTGTTTAAAAAAAAACATGTCCTCGGGTCCTTGTATCTTAAATTTTCTAGACTTTCAAAAGAAAAACTTACAAGCTTGCTCAATGGCTCATATCTACAAAATATGCTAGGAAACTTATGTCCAGGTGCCACCTTTCAATAGATCAAAATTAAATGTAAAAAATAGTTTCAAGTTCTCTGCATCTTTGAATTTGCTAATTTTAATAATAACATTGATTCTTAAATATTTAATCTTATTTAAGCTTTGAGTTTGTTTTTAATAATTTTTTTACAGGCAAATTTTTTGTATCCATATCAACAATAATGATTAGGGGGAGGGGGGCTTCTCATCAAACTTGGATGCTATTAGTTAAATTTAATAACATTGGCACATTATATTGTCATATTATTATGATAAAAATATATTACTGTACCCATAAGGTTGGTTTCAAATACGTTGGAATTTTTATATTTATAAAGCTTATGTTAGGGGAGAAAAGTTTCCGCAACAGATATATCTTATGTGTGTGGGAATGATATTTGTTTTTGGATAATTTGACTCAGACACTAGTTATACAATTTGAAAGTAGTCACTGTATGTAGGTCACTTTGCCACCATTGTTATATTTTTTCATCAAGTTCTCTTAATGCTGGCTTTGAGTTTTGATACACTAACAGAAACTTTACTACAATCTAGATCCACCTTTACAACCTGTCTGTGTATTGCTATATTGTATTAGAAAAAACATCTTTAAGTAGTTGAATCTGATGATGATTACAAACCTTTATTTGCCTGTCAAAAGTATTTTGTTATTGTTCTAATACAAATAGTTATTTATGTGATCACAGGCAAGGGATTTCAGAGTCAAATCTGTATCACATCAGCTCTTATTTTCTCCTGTTGGGATATGGGGTTTCATTAACAGTATAAATAATATAAATAATAAATATAACTGACACAACCCTGCTTGCTTATCATAAAAAGTAAGCAGAGTTCACCTGTATCAGTGACTTTGCTGTATGCAGTGATAGTGTGATAAGCACTATGCCCAGCCACCTTTACTCTCCCTGGCTTAACTTGAGTCAGGTACAATGGGAGGACTTTGGTACATTGTTTAGAATTGAGCCCAGGATCCGAACTTGAGACTTACAAGTTAGCAGTTAATGCTCTACCATTCAACCACACAGTTCTTGCTTATCATAAAGTACCATAAAACTACCAGTTTATCTTTGGTGTACGTATGTACTACATATGATTACTGAGTCATTTTTGTTCAACAAGAAGGTAAAAAATAAGTTATATTTTAAAATATTCTGTTAGTCTAATTTATTTCTTAGGTATTGCAGTTACACAGTTGGGATAACTTAGTAGTTAGTTATAACTAGATCTAAGTATTATGTGCACTCACTGACATAGCACACAAGAATCTCAAACTGTAGAGTTGTAGAGTAAACTAAGAGTAGAGTCGTGGATCTCTACTAAACTCTAAACTAGAGTAAACCTAAACTTAACTAAACTAAAAAACTTCTAGATCTAGATCTACTACTTATCTACTTTAACCTAGAATTAGTTAGATCTAGATCTAGAAGTTTTTTTAGTTTAGTTAAGTTTAGGTTTACACTAACTCTTAGAATCTAGTAACTTGTTGTTACTATCTATATATATAATTCTCTTCTGGGATCAGTTAGAAAACAAGCTGCAAGCGCGCCTTTGCAGTCCCCTCTCTTCCTCTCTATCACTATCACTACCACCCCCCACCCCACCCCACATGATCTGGTGAGCGGTGTTCACTCTGTTTACATTTTACAATCATAGAGACGGGTTTGGTGACGGCTATTCATGTCATGTTTGCCTGTCGTCCCTACTGGGACATAGGCCGCTGACAAGAGCTTTCCAGACGTCTCTGTCCAGGGCTAGTCTCTCCAACTGTCCCCAGGTGTATCCAATCTTCTTGGTGTCTTCTTCCAGGTCACGTCTCCAGGTCTTTCTTGGTCTGCCTCTCTTCCTCCTGCCTTGTGGATTCCAGGTGAGGGCCTGTCTTGTTATGCTGGATACAGGCTTCCTGAGTGTGTGGCCAATCCATTTCCATTTTCTCTGGAGGATCTCTACTTCCACTGGCAGTTGATTTGTCCGTTGCCATAGAACATCATTTCTGATGGTTTTAGGCCAGCGAATTCGCAGGATCTTTCTGAGACATGCGTTTATAAATGATTGTATTTTCTTCTTATTTATAGCAGTTATTCTCCATGTCTCGGCTCAATAGAGTAAAACAGGTTTTACTAGTGTGTTGAAGATCCGGATTTTTATTCTAAGGGTTAAATCTCCCGAACCCCAAACATTTTTTAGTTGGTTGAAGACTGCTCTTGCCTTACCCGTCCTTATTTTTATGTCTGCTTCTGTCCCACCCTGCTTATCAACAATACTTCCAAGGTAGGTGAATCTATCCACTTCTTCTAGGGCTTCTTCTGCCAGTGTTATAGGGTTGTTGTTTGATGCATTGACTTTGAGAACTTTACTTTTCCCTCTGTGGATGTTCAGACCCAGGCTTGCAGAAAAATTTGCAACCCTGTTGGTTTTATCCTGCATTTGCTGTTGTGTGTGAGAAAGGAGGGCCAGGTCGTCAGCAAAGTCCAGGTCATCCAGCTGGCTCCACAATGTCCACTGTATACCGTTTCGCGTTTTCTCTGTTGACATCTTCATAACCCAGTCTATGGCCAGTAGGAACAGGAATGGTGAAAGTAGGCAACCCTGCCTTACTCCGGTCCGTACTGGGAAGGCCTCTGAAGTCTGTTGGCCATGCACTACTCTACATTTGAGACCTTCATATGAAGACATAATAATGTTGACTATTTTCTGTGGCACCCCGTAGTGTCTCAACAATTTCCACATTGACTGCCTATCCAGGCTATCAAAGGCCTTCTCATAGTCTATGAAATTAATATAGAGAGATGAGTTCCACTCTTGGGTCTGTTCAATGATGATGCGCAGGGTAGCAATTTGGTCTATGCATGACCTTTCCTTCCTAAAGCCCGCCTGTTGATCTCGAAGCTGGGGATCTATGGCTTCCTTCATTCTGTTTAATAATATTCTGTTGAAGACTTTGCCTGGGATGGACAAAAGTGTTATCCCTCTATAGTTAGAGCATGCACTAAGATCGCCTTTCTTTGGAAGCTTTATGAGTAGTCCCTCCTTCCACTCCTCTGGTATTTGTTCACCTTCCCAGATTTTCTTGAAGAGTGTGTATAGTAGTGTGGTGCTAGTTTCTATATCTGCTGTCAGTGCTTCTGCCGGTATACCATCTATTCCTGGAGCCTTCCAATTTTTCAGCTGCTTTATAGCTCTATGTATCTCTTCTTTTGAAGGTGGGTTGCAGTCTATAGGGAGGTCACTTTCAGCTGGTGGTATGTCTTGCGTGCACTCTGGTGTTGGTCTATTCAGTAGTTCTTCAAAATGTTCTACCCATCTCTTCATCTGTCCTTCCGCATCAGGTATTGTCTTTCCATCTTTGGTTTTCACTGGCCTCTCTGGCTTACTGTACTTACCAGATATCTTCTTAATTGTATTGTACACGTCCCTAATATTACCATGGTACAGTGCTTCTTCCGCTTCTCTTGCCAGCAGTTCCAAATAGCTCCCACATGATCTGGTGAGCGGTGTTCACTCTGTTTACATTTTACAATCATAGAGACGGGTTTGGTGACGGCTATTCATGGCTTATCATAAAGTACCATAAAACTACCAGTTTATCTTTGGTGTACGTATGTACTACATATGATTACTGAGTCATTTTTGTTCAACAAGAAGGTAAAAAATAAGTTATATTTTAAAATATTCTGTTAGTCTAATTTATTTCTTAGGTATTGCAGTTACACAGTTGGGATAACTTAGTAGTTAGTTATAACTAGATCTAAGTATTATGTGCACTCACTGACATAGCACACAAGAATCTCAAACTGTAGAGTTGTAGAGTAAACTAAGAGTAGAGTCGTGGATCTCTACTAAACTCTAAACTAGAGTAAACCTAAACTTAACTAAACTAAAAAACTTCTAGATCTAGATCTACTACTTATCTACTTTAACCTAGAATTAGTTAGATCTAGATCTAGAAGTTTTTTTAGTTTAGTTAAGTTTAGGTTTACACTAACTCTTAGAATCTAGTAACTTGTTGTTACTATCTATATATATAATTCTCTTCTGGGATCAGTTAGAAAACAAGCTGCAAGCGCGCCTTTGCAGTCCCCTCTCTTCCTCTCTATCACTACCACCCCCCACCCCACCCCACATGATCTGGTGAGCGGTGTTCACTCTGTTTACATTTTACAATCATAGAGACGGGTTTGGTGACGGCTATTAGGGGCAGATAATTGAGTGTGAAAGGATTTTAAACTTAGAGGAGGTAACTAATAGGAGGCTGCTTTCACTTGGGGGGGGGGGGGGGGGGGGTTAGTGTTTTTAAGCAAATATTTTCAATGGCAGCATTGGTACTGTCAAATTCACAAATTATAAATTACTGAAAAGTAGAAAAAAAAACAACTAAATAGCGGCGTATGATACGCAGCGGGTCGGCTCGTTGTTTATATTGTAGATCTCTAGATCTAGCTAGACTAGATCTAAACCTAAACCTAATCTAATCTTAGTAATCTAGTTGTAGTAGTAGTAGACTAGAATCTAGGAATTCTGATATTGTTTTTAAAAGATTCAAAGTGAGTGCTATTCAAAGTAGTCGTAGCATAGAGCATAGGTAGTGACATGCAATAAAAAAAATGAATATCAAAACCTGCTGTTTTAAAATTTAAAGAGACATTAAAAAGGACGCTGATTTAATCTTAAGCATATGATATATCTTGTAGATCTAAATCAGGGGTCTCCAAACTTTTCAGCCCGAGGGCCGCATTAACTATCGAATATCAGTTCGGGGCCAGAGTTTCTTCAGGGTCGTGGCGCCCCCCTCCTCCGAAGAACGTCTACCCCTCCTCTCTCCCCCCCCCCCCAACAAAATATAATTTATATAGAAATATATACAAATTTCAAGTGTCCACCCCCCCCCCCCCCCTCCCACCAGAGATCCACATTTGCTCTCAAATTGTTCTTCACGTATTTCATTCTTGAAAATGTGAAAATGTTTGTTCACACAGCATGTTGTTCGAAAATTTGAAAGGTACTTTGATGCAAAAGTATAAATGTTAGGAAAGTTCCTTGTTCAAAAATGTATAATAACCCATCCGCCCTTCTTTGAAAGTGTCTCTAAGGAAGTCATTTTCTTGCAATTCAATTACCTCCAGCTGCAGTTCATCTTTGCAACTGGCCACGTTTGCTTCAAATGGGCTTTGAAATAGTCTCACTTCTTCTGCCTTTGAATCCAAGTCAGAAAACCGCTACTTAAACTGCAGCTGGAGGTCTTTAATAATGTCAGTGGTTGCTTCAGCCGTAAAGACCTTGCACTGCTGAAAGTGTGTCAAGTTGTTAGCCTGTACTTGTTCCAAAAACATGACAAGTTTGTATCTAAAGGCCTTTAGGTGGGTGTATAGATCTAGATCAGAAACTAGATTTCACTCTCTTGCCGTTTTAGGTTCAGAAAATTTAAATGACTAGTTATGTCTGCCGCAGAAGCCAATTTCTATACCCACTCTTCATCAGACAATAATGGCTGTGACTTGCCTTTACTATCAGGAATTCACCTAGATTTTCTATTTCTTTTCTTAGATACACTGCTCAGAATTTTCTAGCAACATTAGCCATCTTACTGATTGCGATTTTGTGTTTGTCTCTAAACTATCTATGGTTAGATATCCTCTTCGGTAACAGTGCCACACATATTATGTAGTATGTAGGGAAGCCAACTCTTATGTTATGTTCATGTCTTCATCCACACCCCTAATGAACACAAGCAGTTGAGAGGTGGAACAGCTGTCCAGCGACTCATCCATTGCAATTAAAAAATAGTAAAACTTGCTTGAATTTCTCGCTATTTGAGTCGCAATGTTTTCACCAATGTCTGCAACACAGCTATAAATTGTATTAGCACACAAAGCTACATTTTCAAATGGTTTTGAATTTTCTGTGCAAAGCTCTACTCTTCAGCCACCTCCAACAAACATTTTTCAGTGGACAAAAAGATCGTCGCGGGCCGGATAAAATAACCTCGCGTAACCTCTCCGTAGTTTGGAGACCCCTGATCTAGATCATCTAGGTCTAGATCTAACTAAATTAATGTACATCTAGATCTAAAAGAGGCCTTAGTAGTAAGTAAGTTTAGAATAGTTTAGATTTAGTGTTTTGATTTTGTTATACCTAATTCGATGCCCTAGAATAAAATTTCGGAGTTATTGTTCTTTACTATTTTTTGTTACGGTGATTCAAATTAGCAAACCCCCGTTTTAAAATAATTCACATATTGTAAAAAAATATAAGTAGATCTAGTAGATTCTAAATCATGTAATAAAATTTTAAAATGTAATAGTTTTTTATATAATAGTCGTAAAAGTAATCAAGCTATTAGGCCTATTAAATAATAAGCTTAATTTAATTTAGCCTATAGTGCCCTATAGTGTAAGTATAGGTATCCTAAAATCAGACACCTACTATTTTAGTACTAGTGTAATTAATTTAGAAATGGTAAAGAGTGTAGCGGTTTAGTTTATAAATTAAAACAATAGGTTTATTTGATTTATTGTTGTATGGTGAAATGGAGGATGGATGATGACCACCTTACACTTGCTAATCCGAAAGTGTCGAGTTCGAATCCCAAATTTGTATGATGTCCCTGAGCCCACTCACCTCTGATGTATAGGCATGGGCAAACTGAACTATAAGCTGAGGAAGGTAGCAGCTGTACATAGTGCTGGTCACACTATCGTCCAAGCTGTGGTCATTGAAACAGATGCACTCTGCTTCATACTTCTGCCCCATATCTTTTGGGTTTCAATTGGGAAAAGATGATGATCTGCTGCCCCTACCTCACATGGTTCTATAGGGTCAAAAGTATGGGTATTTGATCTTTCAATGAATGGTGGCTGATCGTCGACTGAACTTATCTTAGATTCCAAGTATAGTATAACAAGCATCGCGTAGGAAAAACAGTCAACAACAGCTGTAATTTAGCTTGAGACTACTTTCATTTTGGGCCCTTGCCTACACCACTGATCACAACTGTCTATTAGTCATCTGTTTTGTATGGTTTATTGAGCTTAAAGCGCAGTTTTAATGCTTCTGATATTAAGTCAGAAAACGTGCTGTAAAATTTTACTCGCTTAACAAACACGACCTCACACGCACCATCATGTGTTGTATAACCAAAATATCTACAGCCTCAGTAAAGAGTCAACACCGCACAATGTTTTCATGATTCAAGGAAGCACAAATTACTCCCAATGAAAAAACCTGTATGTAGATTAGTATAGTATTAGGCCTACACTTTCACTGAAAGTGGATTAAATTCATACACCTTAGCAGTATCACCAGCATCCACGCTGAAAAGCTTTCTATGGAATGGCAGATAACGCATAAACATGCGTAGATGGTAAATTTTGTCTGACCTATGTACTTGCAAGATGTGCTTTATTTAAAGAAGAAAGCAAATCGCAATGGAGCATGTCTGCTGATGTTAAATTTGTGCTATACTTGTGTTAGTGTTTCTTGTGAATGCATTAGAATCCCACTCTGTCTACACAATAAAAACATTCATAGCCTTGCTGATACTTGACTCAACGTCTTGGTACTTCCTTCCTTTGATAATTATAATTAATTTCATTCCAAGTCAAAGTGTGGCTTATTCATAGTGCTCTTGGAAACCGTGATTTATATTCAGTTTCTTTCAGGCATCTCTCCGTGGAGCACTGCTCCCCCCACACAAAACATAATATATATATATATATATACATAATTATACAGAAATTATAGATCTTCCTAAACCACTGTCCTAACCCCCCCCCCCCCCTCCCCCGTCAAAGACCATGCCCCGGTCAAAATCTGTTGACAAGTTTGATGCAATAAGACCCAGCACCGGTCACATCCAGTGTAAACACGCCTCAGCACTTGTGTTTACTGTATTTAAAATGTTTTTGGCAATAGTCTAGTTTTTGGCCTATAGTATAGGCCCACATCCTTCATATAACATTAAGAATCACAGCTATTTCTCACAAACATTCATAATGTTAAGAAGAGTTAGGTGGGGGGGAGTGATGAAATGTGAGAGGGGGGGGGAGGTTGGTGGAAGCTTTAGGCTAGATGTGGAGAGTTTCTTTCACTCATTTAACTGTAATTTCTAGAAACTTCTCTAATGACGGGTAAAATCAAACTTCAACACAACGTGTGGTATACACTATTTTATTTAAGAAATCTTGAATATTCATCTATATTTACAATTAACACAGACGAGGCTCTTAAATCCTGCTGTTTTCACTTCACTGAACACACTTTAACCTCTACTAATGAGTCCTCTTAACTATGTCAGTGTAAGCTAAATATTCAGGTCCTTTTAGGTGTAACACAAATCTACAATATAACAAATGTCATGAAAATTAGCATAAAGGGAATGGCGTGGTCAGTTATTAGCACCTATCACTGCTCTCCATAAGTTGCGAGTTTGGGTCCCTGACTGGAGTCCACCCAACTCTGATGTGTCCCTGCCTTACAATAGGGAAAGTAAAGGCTACGTGGCATAGAGCTGACCACACTTTCATGTCTAGATCACAGAAACAGGTGAGCTCTACTGCCCCATGGACCTTCAGGCTTGAAAGTGTAACTTATCATCAAGGGAACAAATGTCATGGAAGCGTCACAGACTATAGTGTTCAGCTAATGAAAACTAACGCAGCATAGGTTGGTAATAGGATATGGCAACAGCATGGATTTATACATAATATATTTGTCATAATCATTCAACAACAGAAGTACAACTGTTATTTGAAACAATTTGTTTTGTTCTGACTCAGTAAAACAAGAAAGCAAGATTTGTGTTTCTCTCACTATCAGCAGCAAATACAAACATACAGCGAATACAGGCCTATATGTCTAAATATCAGTCAATCAGATCAAATAGTAAAAGGTATTCCTCAGAACTTTGTATTGGGAGGCTAATGGCAATGTAAAGAAGAGTGGAAGAATTGACAAGAAACACTTCCTCCTCAAAATGACAGAAGAAGCTGAGGAAACTGCATGACCAGGAAACTGGGCAAAACTCAATTGGCAAAGAAATACAAAAGAGCAAATGGGGATGATTGGACGCACCTTGATACAACCCACGACAGGTACTAGATTGGAATCCCCAGGGAAAGATAAGTTGCCAGTAAAACAAAAGCAGCTGGAATGTCAGAGTAAGATGGAGAGGTGTGGGTGTGTCCCTTTGATGGAGAGGTGAGGTTGTGTCCCTTTGGTGGAGAGGTGTGGTTGTGTCCCTTTGGTGGAGAGGTGTGGTTGTGTCCCTTTGATGGAGAAGTGTGGGTGTGTCCCTATGCTTCACAAGGGGTCCACAGGAATGATATGATGATGAGATAAATTAGATCAAAGTATAAATTATCTACGAGCCAGTCAAAAAATACAAATTTACAATCCAAACAAATTAAAATTAGAGATTTAAAATGTAGGTTTTTACATTAAACAGGCTTGCCTGAGTTTCCTCTCAATCTAAGCATCTTTCATTATATAGTCATTAAAGTAGGTAAAATTTTCAGGCTGATAAAGATTTGAGTCTTGATTTAAAGGTGGCCACATTGGATCCCTATTTTGAGCAATGCCTTCTTCACTAATTGCACCCATGTAACTAGGAAAATCAGCATCCAAATCCATTCTCATTGGATCCAGATCTAGAAGATCTTCTGGCAGTCTACCTACGTCAGGTGTTGCTTGGTCTGGAAGGCTAACGCCTACAGCTGTTGCCTGCTCTGGGAGTCTAACTTTCTCAGCTGTTGCTTGTTCTCTATTTAGATCAGTTGCATCAGTCGTATTACTTTGCTCATCATCACTAGCAAGAAAAATATAAGTAGCCTTAGTTAAGTAATTTTTGAGTGAAGTAAAAAACAAACATCTTTAACAACTTATTTTGGGTTTTTTAAAGTTTTAAGTTTATATCTTACTGCAAAGACCTGCTAATTTTATTCAAATAGCTGGAAGCTAATGATCAGTGATGTGATTGAAATTCACACATTTATCAAACAGGATAAGTTTCGATTGATTATAAAGTATGAGTATATATTGATATTACAATTAAAGTGTAGATATCCACACACTTTATTAAAATTAACTTTTTAAAAAAAAAACTACATTTCAAAATAAAATAAAATGAAAAAAAAAAAAAAAAAACTCACTTAAAACAAATGATAGCTCCAGGCATTTTAACTCTTTTGGTTAAGTAATCATTTGATGTGATATCACTTTTATCTGAATATACATAATAATAGAAGGATTGAACCACAATGTATTTTTTTTATTGAAAAATTATTTACTTCTAAATACAACATGGTTAACATTTGATTACATGTTTATTTTATGAGGTTGAGAACATCAGCTAGCTAATTTTTTTATGGTTAAAATAAAATGGTTAACCTGTTGAAAAAGTCTTCAGGTCAGAAAGTGGAATGTAATTATCTGATTTGCTAGTCAGCATGTGTTGAATTAATGGTGTCTCTTCTTTATCCTTCAGACGCAACAGATGAGTGTAAAGATCTTTCACTTCAGAAACTTTCTCCGAGTTAGTAATAACTAGAAAATAGTTAAGTAAATGCCCATAAAAAACAATGAACTCAAATTTTGAATCAGTTTCCTAGAATATGTTAAAATGTACCAATAAAATAACTAGATAAATTAATTTTATGTAGGCCACTGTCCATTTTTATATTAATGTGTATCAAACGGACAGGCATACATATGCCTAGGTCAAGAAACGTATGAACTCTACTTCATCAGCCCAATGGATTTCTAGGTCAAAGATGATTCTTTACTTTTTTTTTTACATATGGTGTATGCCAGGGGTCGGCAACCTGTGGCTCGCGAGCCGCATGCGGCTCTTTTGATATCAAGATGCGGCTCTCCAGCTCCTTGTGCAAATACTAATAATCTTAATAAAAAAATAAAATATTTGAAATGAAAAAATGTTAGTGGCTCTTTTAATTGTGTTGGAGGGGGATCCCTTCCAACACTAAAATTAAGAACGAAGAAGAAGAAAGATAATATTTAATCATCACAGCTAGACCTACTTTTCCCCTCAAAAATACATTTATAATCAGTTTAGAGATAATTTTAACATGAACACAAATCTTGAAGGTTAAAATCAAACCACAATTTGATTACATCCACATTAATCTGTCTCTATCAGAATGATCAGGCCACAAGTAGTCAATTTCTATAATTTAAAAAAAAAAACAACTAAAGAAAGATTAAATATTTCTCATTGCTAATAAACTTGCATCTTTGGGCATAGGGGAAGGTAAATGGAAAATTGAAAAATGTGTATAAGGGTTAACCATTTAAAGACTTGCCTGAATTTTGCTGTTGAGTGTGAACTGTAATCAATGCATAAGGTGTTTTGGAATCTTCTTTTTCAATTGAGTTGTTTGAGATTCTAGCAATAGTAGTGCCAGTAGGTTTTCCTTCCAGTAAACTTTTACTTTCACTAAAGCTCAGGAAACTCCATAGAACTCTGAGAAGATAAATTTTATTTAAAAATGGCTGAGATATTTAAATACTCTTAAAATTAATTTAAATATAATGCTCTCTTTTCATTATAAAAATAAAGTAAGTAATTGAAAAATTGTTATTTATATATATTTTTTAATTACCCTTCTTTCACATAACATTTGTACAATGAAAGGGTATTGAATGCTGCCACTAGCCATGTATAGAAAGAGAATTTGTGCTGGCCACTTGTTGACCTTGCTTGCATGGGCATTTTTTGCTGCAGCAATGTGTACATATCAATCTTCTCACTCTTGTTCTCACTCTTTTTTAGTGCTAGAAAAAAAAAGTAATTCTTGGTTAAAACATCTAGGATACCCAAAATAATGTTTTCCTTTTTTAAGGTGGTAATCTGTAAATGATGTTGAACGTTAACAACTTTTACATCCATCATCAATAGCCCCCCACCCCCATACACACCTAAAATTCCTACTGCGCTTTTAAAACTGTAATTTTCATTTTTTTTTAACCTAATCACTTTCTAAAATTTTTACTGAGCTTGATCAATATTGAGTATATTTGAATATTTTTTAATGCTATTCACAAAAATGTTTTTTTTTTTATAAATGTGAAATAGTAAATAAAATTTTATTTCTTTCATTTTGAAATGCAAGAGTGTTAGATTATACTTTCTGAACCCCTCTCCCCCTTGACACACAAGTCCAACCCCACTTCCCCCTAGGAGTAGTATGTCATTTTATGGATGACCTTAAGTTGTGCACAGAATTCTCCACAATAGGATAACATTTATGAGAAGAAAAGATGATGGTCAGCCAACCATTTCTGGAGTTATAAGGGAAAAAATGTGTAATCAAATTAACAAAGGTAATCTGTTACGTACAAGTCAACATTGTTTGAAGTGCCACAATATTTCTTTCATTGAAACAGAGCTCTGGGTCAATGTGTTTCAGTTTTGCTTGTAGCATGGACAGCACCTGGTTAATGCTCATCTCATTGGGGCACTTGAAAGGTTTACTGTACTGTGGGTGGAATTTTTAAAACAATTTAATTAATTAATTGGCTAATGCTCATCTCATTGGGGCACTTGAAAGGTTTACTGTACTGTGAGTGGAATTTTTAAAACAATTTAATTAATTAATTGGCTAATGCTTATCTCATTGCGGCACTTGAATGGTTTACTGTACTGTGAGTGGAATTTTTAAAACAATTTAATTAATTAATTGGCTAATGCTCATCTCATTGGGGCACTTGAAAGGTTTACTGTACTGTGAGTGGAATTTTTAAAACAATTTAATTAATTAATTGGCTAGACAAAACTTTAAAAAAATGTCTATCTCTTAAAGACTAGGACTAGAATATCTTTAACTTACAATTCTGTACAAGCACAATGAAGATTAAATCTAAAAACTACTGGCATTTAAATTCAAGCCAATGGCAGAGGAATAAATGAACAGAAAACAATAAAAATGACAATGGCAAAAGATGAGATACAATCAGAATTGACAGTTTACAGACTAAATCAGAGAAGCCCATTTGTGATCTTTTGGACTTGAAGATTTTGTTACAATTTACAATGCATATTATTGAAATAGAGAACAGAGGTGCCTTGAGATAAAATTTAATCAGTTAAAATCTAAAAAAATCTATATCAGGGTACGTGTATGTTGGGGTATTAATGTATATGTTTTCTTACCAGGTCTTTCTGGATCCAACAATACCAGTCAACAGCTCCTGTGTACGGCCATCTTTGGTTACTTCCAGTTATAACAGTGAAGGGAAGGGAAAGGCACTAGACAAGTAAAAAATGTATCATATAAATTTAGGAATGAATCATACTTGAAGATATTGTCAGGGGAAAAACTTTGTTAAAATAAAATGTTTCCCAGCCTGTTGTTTTGTTGTGTACAGTCATAAAGAATCTAACTTATTACAAATAAGATAATATTTGGTCAAGAGAAGCTTTAATTACAATAAGGGTAATTATAAATAGTTGTTATATTATTCAGTGGTATTTTATAAATCTATATCTCAAATTTAATATTACAGTTAATAGTGGATAGGCAGAGATGTCAATATCTAATAATTTCTAATCAAGAACTAATGCATGCAGCACCTTATAGACAAGTAAAATGTGATAGACACAGTAGGCTATAAAAGTCACATTGTTCAAATCATTTCGACTAAACAGTAATACAGCCAAAGTTGGTTCCCTTCCTGTAAACTTTAGCTGACCATAAAATAAAAATTGTTAAAATTTTAATGAAAAAAATGCTCACCTTGATTTCAAGATTTCCATAAGTCTTCAGATTCAATGTGATGATTATTCTGTTAAAGTGCTCGAAGTCAGTGTAATTACTTCTCTCCTTGCAACGCTTATAGTTCTTTATAGCCACTTTTAATTTCACCAGCCCTCCATCATCCACGTTATGCTCCAGCAGGGGAAGTAATTCTTCTTTCTGTAATAGAGATAAATATTATTTTCAAGTTTAAAACTGTCTCCAGCTCTCTTAAGAAAAAAAATGTAAGCATGCAATGAAGATTTTTTTATTTGATCCAGAAAAGAGCAATTTGTATGAAATGGATGTGTCTAGCTAGCCAGCTTAGACACTACTTTTTGTTTTACACATTTAGAAACAACAGAAACGTTTTTTTTAATCCTTCACGTTAGAATTAGATGTTAACAATTTTATCAAAGCAAAATAGTACCTCAAGCTGTTCAAATTTTTTTTCTGAAATCAAGGAAACTTTTGGGGGTTCTGTAAGTTGAAAGTCTGAAACTCCATACACTCTGTAAAAAAAAAAATTGTATAAAAAATTTGGGACAATACCAGCGGTTGGCAGTTTAGATCACTCTGGGTGATGCTGTTGTAGATCACAATGGGTGATGATGCTGAATCCAAAGTTACCACACCCAACCTAATGACATCACGATATGTATTTAATATTATATTATTAAGCAATAAGAAAAGGGTGTCTGAAATGGTACAGATAGCAGCATTTACTTGATACCATTTCTCAATGGCAGAAATTAAGTGGAAGGAAAAATTGAAATAAAATGGGGACTACATGTAACACGTATATTGTTTCAAGATGTGAGACAAGTAATACAAATTTTTAAAACTTAAGTTTAGAGCTTAACCACATACCTCAAAAACTGTTTAGTTTAAAGCTTAAATCCACATACCTGACATGCAGCTCAAATTCTTTTGTGGCTTTTTCTTTCTGTTTTCCATTGTTTATTTTTAAACAACAAGGAGGTTGTTTTTCAAAGCTCCAGCCCCTAGGTACGGAGAGAAAAATAGCACATCACAGTATTAAAACAATTAACACAAACCATAGTATGCAAGCAAAAAAAAGAAACAATAAGTTTAAAAACAAATTCACTTACACTTCTTTAAGAGTGTTGTTCAAAAAACGGAGCTTTGCAGTGATTACTGTGTTAGAGCTTTCCGTTGTACATAATGCATAAGTATCTCTAAAACTGTTCAGTAAAACGTAAAACAAAATTACACATAAAAATGTTGCAAATCAAATAAACTTTAAAGTAATGATTTTACTTTTTAAAAAAAAGTATGCTATGATTTAGACTAATATTGAACTAATAATTTTTACTTGAGGTAATGAATATTTAGAGTAACTGATATGAAATTATATGCTGGAGTTGTCATGAGACAAGTATTTACAACATTATCAAAAGACTTTAACATGCACATCAACAATGCCATCAACTGGGAAAACCATAAAAATATTTTAAAAATTGTGTGCATTTTTTTAAAAAATTATTTAAAGTAACTAAACACAACTTGAGAAATCCCTAAAAATCAATTTGTTTTTTTTTTAAATTTCACAGGGAAACTGTATACAAACATGGAGTAACAAGGTCAGGCTGTTGTAAGGTATAAGTTTAAAATATTTACTGGAAAATATTGAGTAAAAGCTAATGCAATTACATCTAATTGATATAGCCAATAAAGTTTGTCTTATTTAAGTTAAACCTAAGGTTAAAATGTCAGGTTAATATAACTGGAAATGTAGCCTTAAATAGCAAAAAAACTATTTTCAAGTTCTCTGCATTTGAAAATGTTATAACAATTAGTTCTTAAAATACAATAATTCTTAATGTTTACATCTTTGTTTTTATTTATTTATTTTTTAAAGCTACTATGGAGCCGAATTTAGCAAAAACATGTTTTTAATTCATGCCGGGTTCGTACAACTTTTAAAAAATGAAATATCCAGACTTTTAAAAAGAAAGACTTGATACAGATGATAATGTTTAAGTGACAATTTATAAAACAATGCAATATTTACACTCTCATTATAATTACAGTCTAATGACATTCATTTTAGGCAATTCAGCTAATGTTTATTTTTAACTTCTCTAGGCTAATTTCAGCAAATAACTTTTCTGATTCTGCCCACCTCCTCCAAGTTAAAACTATTAAAATAATTGATTAACATGAAATTATTTTGTTTTCGACAATTAAACTAATGTAATCTGTTAACGGTGTTTTTTTTAAAGTTTTCAATTAAATTATTATAGTAGTCCTATCTATAAGGCCTAATAGTATATCCTTTAAAGAATAATAATAATAAAGTTATTTACTAATTTAGGTCTGCTCTTGTGAATATCTTAGACCTATTCAACCTAGAACTAGTAAATTGTATTTTGGAAACAATAGGCTACTTGAAAAAAAACATTTGAGCCAAAAATAAACATTCTGCAGGCCTTAAAAATGAGAAAAAAAATTTTTAAAATTTTTTTAAAAATTTTAAGCTTAAAAATGAGAAACTTTTTGTCTGCAATTAAAAAATTGCTGGTAAAATATCCCCCCCCCCCCCAACACAAGACATGGCGGAGGTGTTACTGGGAGGTAGTCTAGATATTAGTGGGTCTGTATGTCATAGCATGAACTAGTTCACACAAGCTTAGACATCAAAGACTGTAGTTACAAGGAGGGGCAGGTTAGTCTAATACTAAATTGTCGGCATTTACTAAGATTTAAAAATTAATTTAAAGTTCCAAAATTAAATGGAAAACAGTGGTAGAGGTGGTAGCTGATAATTTAACAGAAGTTGAATTAAAAATACAGGTAGATGAATTATATTTTGACTACCACTCAAACGCCTCGCTCATAATTTTTTGTTTTGACTGTCTCTCTGCAATCTCAGCGGAATCATTCTTTCATTAAATAACAATGTTAAATACCCATAACACTGTCAAAGTCAAACGACAACAATAAAAACTGCAGGCAAACAATCCCCGCCTCTCCCTCTACCATGTTACTGAGTGATTGAGTTTCTTCTGTGTTGGCAAAATTGCAGTAAATGGGCTAAAGAAAGGACTTCTAAGTTCTAGTTGTTTCCTAGACCTTCCAGACGGCGTACAAACTCTGACCATGTCAACAATATTAATCAGGTCTTCCCATAAAACTTACATCCTGTTCAAATCTTGGTTTGTTTGAGTATCTTCCCCTTGAGGTGTAGCCAGACTAGCATACTCCAGAGCTCTATGCCTTCTCAAACATTTCATCATTTCTGCACTGTATAGTCTTAAAGAGTCTATCTCTTCTTGCTTAAGCTGAAATAAATGTCATAAAAAAACTTTTAGTTTAAATATAAGTGCTTAGATCAGATAAGTTACACTTTTGGTTACACTACACCAGCAGGTCTGAGAGTATCTTTAAATCGGGAGTGATCTCCCCTAAACTTTCTCAAATATTCTTATATAAAACAACAGGGGATGGGAACTATGGGATATAGTTATGATTTTTAATCCATTTTAAACACTTAATTTTTACTTTCTCGTATATACGAAGTATAGAGAAAGTCTTGTAATCGTGCAAAAAAAAAAATCGAGATTTTTGCAAATCTCGACGTTTTGCATCTCACTGATACGGAAAAACATAATTTTGCAATCTTGTCCGTATGTCTGTGTGTGTGTGTGTGTCCGTGTGTAAACACGATAACTTGAGTACCGTTACAGCTAGGTTGATGAAATTTCATATATAAGTATTTAATCAAAATCGTAGATCCGTATCAACTTTTGAGCGATTTCCGATAACCGGAAGTGGTACTTTTCCTACTTTGAATTTTTCAAAAGCCTATAACTTGAGTACTATTTCAGATAGATAAATGAAATTTCATACGTAAGTAAAAGATCTAATTCTCTACCTTCTATTAAATTTTGAGTCATTTCCGTTGACTGGAAGTAGTACTTTACGCTACTTCCGATTTCTCAAAAAACTAATGTAAATTTTAAAAGTAATAATAATATTGCGCACTATTATGCGCTTTTTTATTTCGCGTTCACTTGGTGTGCAATTAATTTGTCTACGAGATTTTATTCTATTTTTAAAACTTTAAGTATTTAAAATGGATTAAAAATCATGTCTATAGCCCGAGTTCCCATCCCCTGTTATTTTATATAAGAATATTCGAGAAAGTTTAGGGGAGATCACTCCCGGTTTATTTAAAATAGAATAGAATCTCATAGAAAAAAGAATTGCGCACCAAGCGAACGCCAAAACAAAATGTGCATAACAGTGCGGAATATTATGAGTACTTTATAAAATTACATGCGTTTTTTGAGAAATCAGAAATAGCGTAAATTACTACTTCCGGTCAACGGAAATTACTCAAAATTTGAAAGAAGGTAGAGGATTAGATCTTTTACTTATGTGTGAAATTTCATTTATCTATCTGAAATAGTACTCAAGTTATAGGCTTTTGAAAAATTCAAAGTGAAAAAAGTACCACTTCCGGTTATCAGAAATCACTCAAAAGTTGATACGGATCTAAGATTTTGATAAAATACTTATATATGAAATTTCATCAACCTAGCTGTAACGGTACTCAAGTTATCATGTTTACAGACACACACACAGACATACGGACAAGATTGCAAAAATATGTTTTGCCGACTTAAGGAGGTTTAAAACGTCAAGATTTGTAAAAATCTCGATTTTTTTTTTTTGCACGATTACAAGACTTTCTCTATACTTTGTATATACAAGAAAGTAAAAATGATACTTTATATATACCAAATCAAAAATGTGATTTTGCTACTAAAAAATAAAATTAATTTTTAAAAAATAGTTGAGAATATAAAACTTTTATATATGTATCAACATATATAATAGATTTATCTATTTAACACTATATGCATGTAAAAATAAAATTACCTGAAATTTAAGAGAATCGATCAAATTACTGCACTGTCTTTGACATCTCAGAAAAAGGTCCCATGATTCATCCTGTTTGAAAATGACTTAATGTGTGAGTCTACAATGTTAAATAAAAATTGGGTTGTGCTGTTATAGTGGTCTGTTACAATTTTATGCTTTTTCCTATCACTATACCTACACATTGTTTTACAAGAGGAAATAATTTGATGTATGAACCTTAATTATTAAACTTCAATATTAGTGAAAGAAAATAGTAAGAACGTACATATTAGTCACAATTTAAACAACAGTGAGGCAACACAACTTTTGATCTTTAAAAAAAACATTCAAATTGCCTGTCAAATCATTAAAAATATCAGGAATTTACCTTTTCAATTGGACTTAAAGCCTCTTTTACTTCCAATGAACTGAATTCAGTCTATTGGATAAGAAGAAAAACAATTTCATTGGTTTTATAAATGACAGAATTAAAAGAATTACTTTTGAAATTTAAAAAAAAAAAAAAAAAAAAAAAAAAAAAAAAAACATGGGAATAAAAAAATTAAAATATGGACATCTTACTTGGAGCACTTGATTGTGGTTTATGTCTTTTCCAGTCAGACACATGCTAGGTAAACTTAGCTCCATTTTCTTAAAATTTTAAACAAAAATTTAATTAGTAACAATGATAACATTTTATCAGGCCTGAAAAAATAAAATAAGAGTCCACCCAACTCTGAAGGTACCTGACTTACGTTGGGGAAAGTTAACGCAGCAGAGCATAGTGCTGACAATACCATCCGTTCATATGCAGAGGTCAAGAAACATATGAACTCTACTTCATCTGAGGTCTAAATTAAGTACACCTATATGTTTTGTAAAGTTTAAATGTAGAAATAAATAAGTATATCCTTGCTATTACATGTTGTCTCGGAACATAACTCTATAAGCGCATCACAAATTGATTCAATAATTCTTTAATTTTGCTTTTTATTATCTCATTACAGTATTGAATTCAAAACACTAATGTTAACAGTTTGTAGTTTCATAAACAGAGCAATGGCAATCAATGTCAGTGCCCAGATAAACTATCAATTTTGCACTCCCACCCCAGTTTATATTAATTTAGTGTCACACATCTGATGTAGAAAATAGTTAAACAAGTCTGTTAAGCCAAGTTACAGTCTGTTTTCTGAACTTCTACTGTGTACAATTCACAAATACAACTAAAAATGCTTTTTATTTTTTTCTAACCCACTTGGTGCCCTCTAGTGTTGGTGCCATAGTGGCTACCCCACCTGCCCTCTTCTACCTACGCTTCTGTTCTCATAAATAAATTTAATGCTTTCACACTACTTGAACTGATAAACTAGAAACACAGGTCCAAGTGAATTAACGTCATCTGCTCTTTAAAAAAATAAAGCCCAATATTTAACTCTAACACTAATTGAAAGCAGAAGACAGTCTTTTATGTATTATTTCAAGTGTCAATCTAACATTTAATTCTATAGCCCTTTTGCATTATTTTTTAAACAACTTAAATGAAACAGCTAGTTAAAACAAGAAAGCCTTTTAAACAATTTATAAACGACTTACATTTTTTCTATTTAAATCTTCCTCTGCTACTTTTCCATAGACAACAAGTTGGTTAAGAAAAGTTTCAAGCATTTCTCTCTGGTTTCTGTGGCAATCGAAATTAATCATATTTGCATTAATGCCAATAGTAAAAAATTGTATTGAACTGGTAAATAACAAGCAGAAAAAACTGCTACTCAGTGTTAGGTCTAAACAATAAAAATGTAATTAGCAAAATGTGAGTTAATACAAAAAAGAACTGTCAAGGTTCCATTTACATAATATTCAACTAATAGATGAGTCTATACTTTGCAAATGAATATAATTATATGTTACAACATTATAGTTACCCTGATTTATTGTGTTCAGTGTTAAAGATGCTTTCATTGATAAAACTTAATAACACTGTTGCCAATCTTGGTTGGATTTCTTGTGATTGATCACAATACAGTGCATTATTTTCCATCAACTGATGTTGAAGCAATTTGAATATTTGAAATTCATTATCTTTTGAAGGAGAATGGTCTTCATTGTTTGCCCATAAGCCACTAACAATACCACAATCCATGACTGTTGGATATCTAGAAACAAATTATTGTTGTAGTAATATTGTCAGTTAAAAAAACACATTTGAAATATTTGCAACAAATGCTATTAAACCCAAATTAACTATCACATTAAAAATATTTCTTAATTGGAGTTTAATATTACTTTAAAATACTAAGCATCAGGAGTTTACATTGGGCTTATCTATTATGATGGAGCTTGTATAAATGTAATTTGCAAGTCAATTTAAATTATTATTCATTTAGAATAAGTTTAAGTGATTGTAACTCAAATGAATTAATAATTTGGTGGGTTACATTATAAACAATGTTTGTGAAGAGGTCAAGGTGCCAAGATTGTTACCATGTATGAAAAAAGCACATTTTCTTATCAGCTTTAACAATATATTCGCTACTAGCATCCACACTATTTTTTACACAATGGAGCAGTCTAATATGTAGTGCTTCCTCTATGTAAAGCTAAAGAACTTGAATGAATGCCTTTTGGTTACAGAAAAGGCAATGTGTCAAGTTCTGCAAACTATTACAAATGCTTAACAGTATTTTTGTTACAGTTCTTATTGTATTTTGATCTGAAGAAATCTAACAGGTAGAACTACAATGAAAACATCTATCTACAAAGTGTATTTTAAAGATATATAGGCCTACACTGTAAAATAAAGTTTACACTTACCTACATGGAAAGCGTCACCCACTAAAAAGCTTATTCAATATGTTTGAAGCTATATAAAAATCTTTGGTGAGCACAAAATGATGCCATTTATGATTTTTTTGTTTTCTATGATTTTAGACAAAGTTGCTGTTTCTGCTACCTGTTAGTGAAAAGAAAGTTAATGATTTAATGACATTAAATTAATAGAGTGGGTTTCACACCAAGCACTCTGCCTGTTTTAGGTTAGGAGAAGGGTTTTGGGAAAATGCAAAATGTGAATGCTGAGGTGGTAAAATTAAGTAAAATACAAGATGGGTGCAATAACGTCCATTCACAGGACATTTTTGTCTTGCATCTTACCCCATCTATCTAATTGTTACACTGTCTGCAAAAATTATACTGTAACCTAATTTTAATTTGCAGGTGATTCACAATGAACTTTGATGCTGACTTTAAACACTGGGACAGTATAGTATAGGTTGTATTGTTATAAATTCCAATTTTGATTGAGCAACTTCTTTCTATGAATTTCTATTGTCTTGACTTTGAACAACTCCTTGTTAGAAACTGCTTAATATGCAGCCTTTGGGTTAGTGTTAGGCTGTAAAAAATATAACACTTGTGATGGTATTAAGAACATTTACTCTCGAACTTTAAAAAAAAACATGAACAAAACCAAAAATGTCTCTCGCAAATGAAATGAAATTGTGCTTCACTATTTACTTTATCTTTACCTATGCATGTTGTATGTTTTGACTTTTCATCTCGCATTTTACCAAGACCCTCAGAAGAAGGATGCAGAGTTGTGAATTAAGCTATTAATAATTAACTAATCATAAAACAGTAAAACAGGAAGTAGGCCAACTCTAACTAATCTACCTATAAAAATAAAAATCTATAGATCTAGATCTCTCTAGCTAGACTAGTCTAGGTAAGAAGTAAAGTAGTAGGCTTACTGACATCACATAGAAATTGGAAATAGAAATCTAGAACGCCTCTACTTTAAACTTAACACCCACACTTTTATTCTAATTTGAGAGTTACTTCCAATTTTGAGAAGATCTAGTACTAGAGTTACTTACTATTAGTCTAGATATCTAGATCTAGATCTAGACTTAGAGGAGTGAAGTGAGCATAAAAAGTAACAGGATAAACGTCTAAAAGGGAATTCCCTAAGAACGGGTTATTTCTCGAAAATCTACATTTGTTTGCCAGTTTGTATAGGCCTAATGCTTAGTCTAAGCAATTTTAATTTTGGCTAAAAGTCAAAGAAAGTTATAGAACAATAAAACCTCAAAATAGCCATTGCATAAAATATAATAGTTAATTGAGATATCTCTGATATGTCCTCAAATTATTATATATGTATAGATCTATATCTAGATTTAGATCTCAAAGCTTTTTTATCTAGTCAGATCTAGATCTAGTGGGGATAAATAAATGTAGGCCAAACTACCAAAACAACAACACAGGGAAATATAAAATAATATTAATAAAAATATATGCGTGGTTAGTGGAAATGTTTCATATGTAGATCTAGAACTCTAATGTTTTTCTTTTTGTATCAGTAAGATCTATATTTAGATCTAGACCTAGCCTAGATCTAGCTAGCTAGAGTCTAACTCTAACAACTGCAAGCCCAAGGTTTGTTGCAGTGACAAAATGTAAACAACCAAATTTACTGAAAATGTGAAATTGTTTTTTGCTTTTTAATTTAATAATAATTGTTAGGCCTAATAATGTAGCGTACTGTTTATTTCTGGTTTCTAAATTAAAATTAAAATGACCAATAACGTAAGTGCAGTTTCATTGATTTAGATGAACGTGATTATCTATAGGGCCTACTAGACCTAGATCTATATATTTTACTATATAATATACGAGCCGACCCGCAGCGTATCATACGCCGCTATTTAGATCTAGTTGTTTTATTTTCTACTTTTCAGTAATTCATAATTTGTAAATTCGACAGTACCAATGCTGCCACTGAAAATATTTGCTTTAAAACACTAACCCCCCCCCCCCCCCCACTTTCCCCTAACCCCGACCCTACACCCCCCCCCCCCCGTGAAAGCAGCCTCCTCTTAGTTATTTCTTAGTTACCTCCTGTAAGTTTAAAATCGAACTAAATTATCTGCCCCTAATAGAAACCCGGCTGTACAGCTCTTCGATTTGTAAACATTTAGCTTTGTAAAAATTTAGAGTGAACACCGCTCACCAGACAATATGTTGGGGTGGGGTGGGGGGTGGTAGTGATAGTGATAGAGAGAAAGAGAGGGGACTGCAAGGAGGCGCTTGCAGCTTGTTTTCTAACTGATCCCAGAAGAGAATTATATATACGAGCCGACCCGCTGCGTATCATACGCCGCTATTTAGTTGTTTTTTTTTTCTACTTTTCAGTAATTTATAATTTGTGAATTCGACAGTACCAATGCTGCCATTGAAAATATTTGCTTAAAAACACTACCCCCCCCCCCCCCCCCCCCCAGTGAAAGCAGCCTCCTCTTAGTTACCTCCTCTAAGTTTAAAATCGTTTCAAACTAAATTATCTGCCCCTAATAGCCGTCACCAAACCCGTCTCTATGATTGTAAAATGTAAACAGAGTGAACACCGCTCACCAGACAATGTGGGGGTGGGGTGGGGGTGGTATTGATTGTGATAGAGAGGAAGAGAGGGGACTGCAAAGGCGCGCTTGCAGCTTGTTTTCTAACTGATCCCAGAAGAGAATTATATATATAGATAGATAGATATAGTATATAGTATAGGCCCTATATAGGACCTATATATATATTAATATTATATAGGCCTAATACTAATAATACTATTATATAATATATATAAAGCAAAGTGGTCAAGTGCCCGATGGGGCACTTCCCTACGCTGCAGGCGATTCAAATTTGGCAGGATCCTGTCTTGGGGCGACAGAACACAAAGGCAGGTGCCAGTTGGCCAAAAAGTGAACGGAGAGGGGGTCAAAACTGACCTCGACTGACCGGCGCCTTATATGGGTTATATTACAAAAAAACTTTTGCCCAACGACCCCCCCCCCCTTGATATTTTGTGAGGTGGTAGGAGGACACCTACGGGTGTCAGAAAAAACGCGACATATCCGGGAAAAATCAGCAAAGTGGTCCAAACTGACCAGTCGTATTTTCCTATATAATCTTTGTATTTTATGGGTACTTACCCTCTCTACAGCAGGCTTATGTTTTGCATGCTCATAGATAAATGGTCATGCTGTATGGAAAAACTGTCAGTTTGACTAAAAGCCCTCAACGAGGGCTAAAAAGTGACCGCAAGTGAAATACTCTTTATATGGGCTATATTACGAAAAAAAACTTTTGCCAAACAACCTCCCTTGATATTTTGTCAGGTGGTTGAAGAACACCTAGGGGTGTCAGAAAAAACTGGCCATAGCCGGGAAAAATCTGGAAATGGGTCAAAACTGACCAGACGTATTTCCCTATACAGTCTTTGTATTTTATAGGAAAAACAGAGGGTAATTTCACCAACAATTTTAAAGCGCTTACCATCTGTACATCAGGCTAATTCTTAGCATGCACCTCTATAGATGACTAGGGTATAAGGAAAAACTGTTGGTCAGACTCAAAGCCCTCGAAGAGGGCTAAAAATTAACAGCGAGGGAAATTCTCCTTATGTAAGACATATATATATTAATTAACAAACGCCCCCCCCCCCCCCCTCCCCTTAATATTTTGTGCAATCGTAGACCAACCATGGAAAGTAACAAAAAATTTTAATTACCGTCTGAAAAACCCTGTAGGATCGTTAGATTTGTCTGTTTTTTTCTTAATCAAACAATTGTTTATGAAAAAGTAAACCAAGACTACGTTATTTGGTCTATGTACAGGGGAGGTAATATTTTAAAGTAATAGGCCTAATTTTAAATAATTTTTTAACTATTTTAAAGAAAAAAAAATCTCAAAGTATAGCATTCTTCTAAATAGATATTTCATTATAAATTAAGCAGTTTATTGTAGTTGAATTGTAAAAATTTAATGCGAAAGTGAATTTAATATAAAAATTGATGTATAATATTAAGGAAGCCTTTGCAGTTCTAATAACCTTGCGAGTAATAAGTTTGCGAATCCTTTAACAAAGTTGGCATGACATGAAATTACTTAGACTATTTAAACTCAGGCCCTAAGCACTCCACATTACAGCCAATCACAAATTAATTAATTATTTAAATTCTCAAAAGTTTTTTGTAAACCTAAGTGAAGCTAGGCAGAATGCCTAGTATATTATATACTACATATAGTATATTAGTATTAGCAGTATTACATAGTACATAGGTATTGCTTGATCTAGATCTACCAGGCCTATAAAATCCTATGATCTATCTATATTCTATAGGCCTGTAATCAAACACACACATCCAATTTTTAGCAATATTTGATAAAAACAAAACTATCCAATTTTTTAAACCATGGACCATACCATATTCATTTTAATAACATCATACATGATTTTTAATATATTTAATGGGCCTTGGTTGTGTCCATTATTACAGAAGGATAAATTTTACAGAGAATTAGAGGGATGATCAGCTACTCAATAGTCAATAAATAAGCAACAAAATAAAATTATCATTTAAATTTTTTTTTTCAAAGTTGTAAGATCAAGATCTTTATGATTATGTGATACAGAGACATTTTACCTTGGCAGAAGAAGAGTCTGTTAAGCTGAAATGGTGTTCAATGATAAAGTTATAGAACATTTTTAATCCTGGTGCTTTTGCCAAACAACAAGCAGAAAAGCGGGCTGAACCATGCTGCCATGCATTTTATGGCCCTTGCGTTTTATTTTAGAGATTACAAAATAGATTTTCAAAGCAAACACAAAAAAGAGGATACAAGTCATTTCCATGAAAAATTTGATTGAACAACCATTCATTTACGTCATAACTGAAGAATGCACCTCAGTTACAACACTGTATACTCTTAGCTAGACAAAATAGAATAGATGTGAACATGTTAGATGATTTTTGTCCTCCCACCCCAACCTAGCAACATCATGTTAGGCCCTATTCCACACCTGAAATGGTGACGTTACAGAGTTCTAAATAGGTATCCCCAGTTCATCAATACATAAAATAATAACCCTCCCCTCTGTATGTGATGTTATCAATGGATGTATTAGTAGTATTGTTATAATACCACTGTAATAGACATATTCAGCAATGTGTATCTATACTTTTTAATGTTTTTTGTATATACTGTCTCCATTGGTTTTCTCTCTATATAAAACACAAAAACCATCAGACTTGAGACTGGTGGCTCTTAATCTTTTTGGAGGTACTCAACCATACCAGTTAAATATGCACATTCACCTAACCCTTCCTAAAATAGTTCTATCATCCGCACTAACAAAATTCAATCGTGAATCCTATGAGTCAGCTCAGCTTTTCTGTCATTTTATGAATGATGTGCCAAGTCAAATTTTAAACAAGATTACTACTCTATGTCTTCTTAGGAAATTAAGGGCAAATTGTAATAATCTGATTTATGTCCTAGGTCTAACATACCTAATAATACATTAATAAACACTAAGCTTTGGTCACTAGAAATCTACTTAATTTATTCAACTTATTTAAAAAAAAAAAAATTCCCAATTTTATACTAGTCCATTTTTTAAAATTTATTTCAGCAACAGTAATTCCAAGATGGAAACACATGAATTAACAAATTCAACCTACAATTACAATGCAGTTACACATAATTCACAGCTTTTAAAAGAATGGATGCATGCTTTTGATGATGGCGGAAAACTTTTAGAGCCTATTTTGAAAAAATTTAATTTGTCTGATGTGCAGGATATTAAAAGGTATGAACAATTTTCAGCCAAGATAGTCATAAAACAATCTGTCTTAGACCACAATCTATATAGGCCTGTATGAAGCAAAGTTTCCAGAAAAACACAATGGTGCTGAACAATTCAAGAAATTTAGTTGAGTCATAGATGGTTCTCTCAAGGGGCCGTCCATAAACGATGTCACATCCGTAGGGGGGAAGGGGGGGAGGGGTCCGTAATTTTGTGACGGTGTGTGATGAGGGGGGGGGGGGGGTCAGATGGTGTGACGTCACACTTTTGCATTAAATAAAAGCAATGTTAGAAAACAAATTTTAGACATTATTTTGCGTTTTAGAAACTGTTTTAAAAAATTGTCATAGGAATTGATTAAAATACTCTATTTTGACAGTTAAGACAGGATTTTGGAAAAATATCGGTTTAAAAAAAATTCAACTGCAATTTTGAGAGGGATTGTAGGCTGAGGTGTGATGTCATTTTTTTTTTGGGGGGGGGGGGGGGGGGGGTCTGGCTTTTTGTGACTATGTGTGACGGAGGGGAGGGGGGAGGTAAAAATCGTCAAAAAAAGGGTGACATCATTTATGGATGACCCCCAAGTCTCCAAAGCCTAGCAGTTGGCTTAGGAAATTTTCAAAAGGCAGTCAACTGACCTATAACTTTATTTCTCTAAACAAAAATTTTTTTCAGGAAATAGCAGCCAAATCTTTCAAAGAATGTTAGTGGTCTAGACCACTTCCATGCATGGCATGGTAATGAAATATTGTATCGACCCATGAAATGACGTCAGACTATAATTGACATCACATTGGATAAATCACAAAAAAATGAGTGACCACCGCCTGATAAAGCCTATACATTTTAAAATTTTATAAACAAATATTCCGTCATAGACGTTGGAAAAATAGTAGTTTGCTCAGGGAAAGTTGAAAAATCTGTCAAAACTGAATGAAAGTCACTTTTGTTCATAGTGTTTAATATTAAAAGGAAGCCTTTTTTAGGTTTTTTTTTTTTTTTACATCTATTAGGTTTTTATTATTTTGATAGAGGAAAAAGAGGCCTCTATCTATTCATTAACGTTCAAACTTTTTTACTTTTATTACAATTTAGCCAGTCTCGACATATTAACTTTACATGAATTCATTTGATACATACTTTCCAAATTTTTCTCTTAGAGTACTCTACTATCCAGTAATATCATGCATGTGGTATCAACAAATTTAATATTTTAATGTCATATTTAATTCTGACGATTGAAATCTTTTAAAACACCTGACACTAACAAATAATGTGTTATACACTAACACAATCATACAAAATGATAAAAGAATAAAGCTGATCTGTCTCTGATATTTTAGTTTTTAAACACAGGTTATCACTGAAAGATATGCATCAGGATGATAGATTCTTGCGCTTTTTACAAACATTTTGTGACTTGGGGAACGGAGCCAAAGCTGACTGTGATCAAATGCGTGTGAGTTTATGTTGAGTTGAAGAGATCATGTTGAGTGGAGGTTGCAGAAGTTAAATTTGATTTTTGTGAATAAAATGAAATAAAACAATAGCATAAAAAATAAGTTCTTTTTGTTTGTGGCATAATTTGAAAAGTATTACATTTTTGCATCTTTAAAACTGTAATTTAAATAATTTACTTATTGTAACATGTAATTGCATTTAAATAAACATAATAAATATTAGCTATTGTATTTAACCACATGCCTAAAACAACAAATCTTTTCTAGCAATTGATAAATTAAGAGTAATTTTATTGCTGGGAGAATACATTATTTAAAATGCTTAATAGAGTTTTTTTTTTAAAACAGAAAATGAGAATGGGCAAAGTTGAAGATACAGAGAATGATGTAAGACAATTAAAATATTTAAATTGACCACGAGTGGTAGTCTACATTAGAAAAGTGTTTTTTCTGCTAAAGTTAATTTCTCACTGCTTGAGGTGAAAAAGAAATGCACTTAAAAGTGGTGATATTAGAATTTTTTGTTTTAGAAATATCTTTTAACATAAAGAGTAGATTTGAAATTGTGTGCTTCTATACATTCAATAGGTATCTGATGCAGAAGCTACACTCCCACTTATTTCTGAAGATAATAGCCACACAGTGGTAAATATTTTTTATTGTTCTATTAACACTCATAACCCTATTCCACAATCCATCCACACTTTTTAACGTAGCAGTTTACATATTTTAAAATTATTTTTTTTTATAATAAACAAAATTAATGTGATCAGGTTAAAATGTAATAACCATTTAAATATTTTTTCTGAAGATGTAAAGTTGAATAGCAAACAAATACAGCTCTTAAAAACTAAATTTATTTTAGCAAATGATATTTTCCAGTGCACTGAAAATGATACCTTTGTTGACCATTTACACACTTTGGAAGAGCTTCATTCCAAATTTAAAGACTCTTTACAGGTATCAGTTTATTATTATTTCTTCTTAAGCATGAGTTCCTTGATCAAAGACTAATCTTTGTCATGGACACTTGTGAATTATGCCAGAGCTCAGATAAATTGCCTTAAATTCTTTGCATATGTAAATTTTTATAACATTGATTCCATAAATATCAAGTTCTGATTTTTATCAGCTTTAGTTATTTTTAATTTTTTTTACTGCCACTTTAAAGACAAATGTACAAAACCACATTTTTAGTTTGTGTTAACATTTGTGATCAGGGGCCTTTTTGCTAACATGGGCAATGCTATTGGAGAACTCATGTCTCTCTTTGTCAAGCGAAAAATGTATATTGACACATTGTTGATTTAGTTATAGTGCTTGTTAATGCTATTCAGACAAAACTAACAATACTGTAAAGTGTTAATGAAACACCAAAAATAATATCAGTCTAAGGTGTCTTGATAACGGAGGTATGTTATAAAGTTTTTTTTTCCTTTTTATAGTCATTATACTGTCTTTTACTTTTATTTATAATTGCCTTGGCCTTGGTTTTCACCTGTTTTGGATTTATGGGATTTTTTGGAGACAGAGTTTTAAGGAAAAAAAGTTATTATTGCTGTCAATGCCAGTAGATAAATTAGACAATTAAACAACTGAAATTATTCTGTAGTTGTCATATGCAAAAATTTCATAAAGGATAAACTTAGTCTTCAGTGTGTAAGGTCCCCTGTTTGGCATCATATAGATTATAGACTGTCTACAATTTATCTTATACTTTCTGTAGAATGCCAAATGCCAGGTTTTGCACTTACAGTGTGTTTTTATTATATCTTTTATATTTAAATTATTATAGCTTTACTTTCTTCATTTGGACTTTGAAATTGGCTGTTTCTTAAATAAAGATAAATGCTTCTGTCAACAGAAATAAAGTAAATAACAATTGACACAAAAAAAGAAGATAATTACCCACATATAAAAAAAAATTCATGAGGTACATACATTGAGTGTAGGATGGTGTGGTTGGATGGTAGAGCATACAATGGCTCACCTGAAAGTCTCAAGTTCAAATTCTGGATTCATGTCAGTAAAAACACATCCCTGAGTCCACCCATCTCATATGTTAACCTGAATCACGTTAGGTAAAGTAAAGTCTGTTGGGCACAGTGCTGACCACACTATCCCTTTTAATGTTGAGGCCTCTGAAAGAATTGACTCTGCTCTGCCTGCCCCATGGACCTGCATGTTTGAAAGGGTACTTTACTTACTACTTACTACTTACACACATCTAAAGTGCAAACAAATTAATTTTTATGTAAGCCTAGTTTTTTTTTAATGAAACTTACTGTTGGAATAATAGATTTTAAATTTTATTGCTTAAAATATTGACTATAATAAGTTTAAATCTTCAACACCAAAGTTAGAATTTCCTTTCAACACTATTTTTCAGCCATATTCATATTTTGTGAGCTTATGTAATTAAAATGCCTACTAATTTTTGTATTTAATCATTTAAGTGGCAGCCTTTGTATTTGGATTGAACTCGAAAAAAGCAAACACCATCCGGCAATTTTAATTTGCTTCCTTTATAGAAATCCCTGTGAAAACATGGATTGGTATGATCGTTTTTGCTCCATGATGGATACCGTTTTATCTACTAACAATGAATATATCATATTGGGAGATTTTAATATAAATTTATTAAAACCTCAAGGATATTGGCAAGATATTATTGATTCTTTGAATCTTAAACAATTTGTGCACACGGCTACCAGGGTAAATGATAAATCTAGTACAATAATTGACCACATATACGCATCACCTGACTGCAACCTAATAGAGGTCTGTGTTCCCTCTTGTGGTGTTAGTGATCACTTCCCTGTTTGTTGTACTTTTTCGACAAAAAGATTATGTGTACCTTCGCGGCAACACATAACTATAAGTTATCGCTCTTTTAGAAAATTTAATGAAAATCTTTTTCTTTCGGATTTATTGGCTGCCCCCTTCTGCAATGTATACAATTATAATTGTCCCGATCTTGCCATTTCTGAATGGCTGCGTATTTTCTATACTATATATGACAAACATATTCCTAAAATCTCTAAAAGAGTTAAGACTACATACAAACCTTCTTGGTTTAACAACAATATCGAATCTGCAATTAATAAAAGAGACTGGCTTAAACGTTATGGAACTTCTGAGGACTTTTGTAGGCAGCAAAATTATGTCAAACTGCTCGTGCGTAGGTCGAAGAAGGAGTATTTTAATAAGCTGCTGTCAGGCAAACCTAATTCCAAATCTATCTGGACTGCTATAAATCAAATAATTAGAAAAAAACGCACATGTAATACAGCTGGACATTGCCAGATATCTGCTGATGACTTTAACAATCATTTTATATCATCTGTAGCGCTCAACACAGATGCTGATTACACAATCAGTGAGGAGCTTAAAAATTTTTGTAATTCTGCTCACCGTGGTAGGACAGAGCTGATCATTCCGCTTCTGACTGTTCATGAAGTTTATGTTAGCCTAAGATCTCTTAAACCGTCTTCAACAACTTCGTTTGATGATATTTCTAATAATGTATTGAAGATTTCAGCTCCAATAATTTCCGAAGTTTTAACCTATGTCTATAACCTCTGTATTGCCAAGCATTATTACCCGACACATTTTAAGCATGCTAAGGTTATACCACTACACAAAAAAGGTAACATCCAAGATGCTAATAACTACAGGCCAATTTCTATACTTTCTTCCCTCTCCAAGCCACTAGAAATACATATAAACAAATGCATTTCATATTACCTAGAAAAGTTCAAGCTTTTCCATAGTAATCAGTCTGGGTTTAGAAAGTTTCATTCTTGTCACACTGCTCTGATTAAGATGAATGAAAACTGGCTTATAAATATTAACAAAAACCTACTCTGTGGCTCGCTGTTTGTCGATTTCAGAAAAGCCTTTGATTCTATTGATCACACCATACTTCTTAAAAAACTAATTCCATACAAATTCCACGACTTTACAGTTAGGTTACTTCACTCCTTTTTATCTAACCGATCTCAACGCGTTTTTCACCTTAATACCATCTCTTCACAGAAATATGTTAATATAGGGGTTCCACAGGGCTCAATCTTAGGTCCTTTACTTTTTTCTTTATACATTAATGATCTTCCATTACATATTGACGCTGGTCAGTGCGAGATGTTCGCTGATGATACTTCTTTGCATGTCTTTGCAGACAGTGCTGAGTCACTCAGTTACAAACTTCAAACATGTGCCAATCAGCTTGCAACTTGGACAAAATTTAACAAAATGAAACTTCACCCCGATAAAACCAAGTCAATGTTTATTACAACTCATCAGAAACGCCTTCGTCTTCCATCCACCGCATTAAACATTACTATAGACAATTCAAACATTGAACAGGTAGACAGTTACAAATGCCTAGGATTGTTTATAGATCACAACCTCACTTGGTCTGACCATATTCATTTTCTAAGAATGTCCTTATTAAAGACAACCTTTCAGTTAGCAAGGATAAAGAACTTTCTCAACTATAGGAGCAGGCTGGTTTTTTATGAGGCTTTTATTCAATCCAGGTTGGATTATGCTTCTGTAGTGTGGAGCGGCAGCTTTATATCTAAGCAGCGTCCTCTTCTTTCTTTACAAAAAAGGGCAATAAAACTGGTTACTGGCTTGTCTAGTAGTATGGATTCTTTTCTTACAACTAAAATACTTCCATTAAATAAAAAGATAATATATACTAAATCAATTTTCTTATATAAAATATTCCACGAAACAGCCCCCTCTTACTTATCAGATCTATTTTCTTTTAACATAAAATTAAATCGTCGTCTCAATTTACCATTCCCTTATTCAACCTTTTTCCAAAAACATAGCTTCGCCTACTCTGGTTCTAATTCGTGGAACAATCTTCCTAATAAAATAAAGCTATCTAGATCTGAAAATATATTCAAATCTAAATTAAAACTAAAATTATTTCATGACCTAACTGACTCATTGTAACAATTCTCATTCATCTATTATATTCTCTTTTTTATCTCATTATGTATGATAGCTATGTACCATTGTTTCTTTATTCCACATTTTCAGTGCTATGTGTTACTGCTATGTGTTATTGAATTGCTTTATTTGTTTAAACGGCCAATGTGAAAAAAGGCCTTTGTGCCTACAATTGTAACCGTTGTTTGAATAAATTTGAATAAATTTGAATTTGACAATTTTGGTTTAAAATCTAGTATATAAGGTATTTACTAGAATTGTAATAAAAAATAAATTTCTTTCTTTTTTTTTAAAGCAGGACGCTAATTTATCTACCCTAGAGGACACAATGAATGACTTAAAACGCCATGAAGCTTTGGTATATGCTGAGCTGGAAGTTAAACGTAGTGACTTAACTCAGCTAAAGGAAAAAATTCACTGCATGTAAGGTTCTTTTGTTTCTATAGTATCTATAGTCTATAGCCGCCAGTGTAAGGATGTTTAAACTAGTTTCATCACCTACATTTGTCATTTATTCTTTCTTTTTAGTTCAGATTAGTAGAAATTTAATATTTTAATTCCCTTATGTTTGTACAGACTAATAGAAGTATTATTTCTTTTTATTTATACATCATACAATTTAATAGAAGTATTTTGTTTTCAGTTATTCATTTTGCTTATGTATTATTTTCTTTCTCCAATATTAGCTTTAAAAACTGCTGGGAACTGATTGAGCTTTCTCCCTCATTAGAAGTTCTACCCAAACTGAGGGAGAAAATAATTGAATAGTAAGTTGAATCACATCTAATTTACTTGCATTCTCAGATGCAAATCTGTCATTATATGGGATTCTGTGTATTTTTTGTGTAGTATTGGTTTAGTTTATCACTGCCCAGTACACACTGGAAATGTTTGGTATATTGAATTAATCAGATAAGCCATTAAATCATTTTTTTTATAGTGGTTGGACAGTTGAAAGCCAGAAACCTTGTGTACTACTAAAAAAAAATTGCAACATTGTAGATGTTTCATTAAGGTTTGTATACCATGTGTTCAATGGAATAAATTAAGTTGAATTATGAGTTCAAATAAAATCTATTTATTTGATACTATTATCATTTATTGAAACAGAAAACCTATTATATTTATAACTAACTTTACTTGTACCTTATATAAAGTATTTATGCTGCTGATTTTTTCTCTCTTTAGAATTTATGGGCGAGATTGTACAATGTCTAATGTAAAAAACGTAATTGCAACCTATGAACAAAATGATAAAGCAGAAGAAAAGGTAAAAATATAAACATACCTTTCAAAATTACATTTTCTACCAGTTACATTTTAAAATATATAACAAATATTTTTAAAATCCAAGATCTGTATCACAATAATAAGCTTTTCAATGCTTTGAAAATAAGCAAATACAACATTAGACACTCATGAGATCTCTTACATATTGTAGCAATCAATTATTTTATTTAACAAAGCAATTTAGTAATTTAGTTCTAAATAATTTTTAAAAACACATACAACAAAAAATATTTGCTTTAAAACCCTACCAGTAGATTGCAATCCCTTAAAAACAATGATCTGCCCTTTTTTAGCGCTGAGGCAAAAAACCAGTCAGCCATGAAAACAGTTGACTATCAACAGGTGGATGATTGAGCAATTACTAGTATTAAATCTTGTTATCTCCCCTTTTAGTGTTGAATTTAGTAATCTTTTAATTAAATTTTAATTACAAAGTCTAATTAGTTATTCTTTCATTGTCATCACAGACTAATGTATCTAGAAAGCTAGAACAAAATTGGAGCATTAGAAGTGGGTAAAATTGAGTTACAAGATTTGCCACAAACCCACAAAAAGCTAACAAACAAACAGATATTGTGAACTAAATAAAAAAAGCTTATAACAGTTGATTCTTTTCTCTCTTAATGCCAATTTTAAGAAATAAATTATAAGAAAGACCAAAACACTTATGCACTATTGAAAGTAGGTTTTTCCTGATAAAATCACAGGACCTAAAAACCACTCTTGTCACAAATCTTATAATCTTAAATCAAATAATTTATACAGGGGCAAATGTATAATTATAATTTATACTGTAGCCATGAATATACTTGAGAGTTAAACTAAACTACAGAATTTTTGAAATGTGCTGGGCTTTCTGCAGTATTATATTATGCAGATACAAATAATAAAACACAGTCAATGAATTTAATTAACACATTATACAAAGCAAGTCTTAACAAGATTTTAAAAAAAAATTTTATTCTACTAGTGCAAGTGTGAGTTCACAGAAAACATCATTTGTGATTCAATGGGATCACTAGTGAAATTTAAAGTAACTTTGGCTGATTTAAAAAAAGGTGTCAAAAGAAACGCCAAGAAAGAATTTTGCCACTTAAGGAGGATACTATTTACAATTAAATTTGATTTTGGTACATACAAGGTAATTAACTTCACTAATGACATTCTTGATTAGTACTAATACATACTATCATTAAAAAATTAATACTCAAAATATATTCTTCCATGAATTAGTTTCTTCGTCAAAGCTATTAAGCTCTAAAAAAACTATTTTGTGAAATGTATGTTGTTTCTAGGGGCATAGCTCTTACAATTATTCATTGATTTAGCTTCTGATAAATACATGTAAGATTTGATTAGTTTTATGTAACCCAGACTTGGGCATTCAATAAAATGAATCCACTGTAACACAAGTTATAAAAACTTGAGCCATTCGAATAGACAATTCTAGCTTCTGTGTGTGGTAGTAATTGGAAATCGTATACTGTACTGTATACTATTTTATTCATTTATAGTAAACACTAATTTTATTCTATCATTTGTATTGTAGTGTTGGACGCACCCTTTTGCTGTGATGACAGGAACTGCTCAGCAGTGGCCCTATACTGGAGCAGTTCAGTGGTACATTTGGGCTAACAAAAAGCCAGTAAGATTTCTTTTAAAACAGCTTTTTTTTTGTTTTGGTTAAAAAAACTAAATGTTGTTTTGTAGAAATTGTTTTTCACTGATTGACACAGACATTTTCAGTCTTTTTTTTAATTTGGTGTTGGATTTTTTAGCATCTTCCTTTAATTGTCTTGTATTTATTTCAATAAGTGTAATAATGTAATACTGTGCAATTCTTGTTAAAAAGAAGCGTAAATCTCCTGTAGCATTATGATTCATTTTCTGATGTTGCTCATCAAGTGTTCTGGTCCCATTGTCAGATCAGCATTGTCAACACAAGGTCTTGAGGCTGTTGATACCCCCACCACATTAGCCCCTCTTCTTCCATTGTTAATAATGTGCATCAAGGTCAAGGTGTCTTTAATCAAATGTAGAGAAAGTTGATGTGCATTTATATTTTGATTTTCAAAATTTATAACACACTTTCAATATTGTCCTAATGTGTAAAGGCGGTAAAGTAACTATTATTCGTGTAATATTCAGGGTGAAATAAACTTTAGAAGCCCGAGTAACTTGTCAGTTGAAGAACTATCAGCAATGTTCTTTTCACAACTTAAAGTCAAGGGACTGCAAAAATGCTTTACAGAAAGAAATAAAGACACCTACAAGGAAATGTTAACATGTAAGAAAATTATTTAAAAATTATTTTTCAGAAACTATGGTTGTGGTGCCTGATTGTAGTTGTGATAATTATAATATATAGAAGCTTACATTTTTATTATATCTAATTTCATCTGTTGGAATATTCTTATTCATAAAACACAATGTAAAGTAAACCTTGTACTAAGGTCATTCTTCAAAACAAGCTCCAAGCTAAAGGAAACATTTCAACATCTTTACTATTGGATTGAATCAACCACTTTAAAAATTGATTTGTCATATTTTTTATAAATAAATGAGTTTTTCTAATTAATTACCAAAAATTTTAAGTTGATGGGATTTTGCACACTTTTGCACATTTCTCATTTTGATCAATTTGCTTTCTCCTACCAGACTACCGGACATATTGTATTTTTGGGGTTGTTTTTTTAGGTGTTTTTTTAATGAGGTTCAGCTCTATCTGATCATCTTTATTTTATGCAACACTGACCACTACACATAGAGGTCTCTAGGATAGTTTAATTACTTTGTTTTAATTTTTTTTGAGCTATCAAACACTGAAGCTATTAAACCTGAAAGAATTAAAAATGTTTGCGACTACAACTGTTAAAGATTATTTGTGAACTAATCCTAGTAAAAGAATTTTTTTTTAATTTAACTAAAGACATTTTAAGCAATAATCATTTTTAAACATATTTGTCCAAATTCTATGTTAAATATGTATAAAATGTAATAAATACTTGCAAGTATTTTAAAAAATTTAGATCTTTATTTTTTTTTATTTTCCAGCTTTGTGCAAAGGAGCAAATGAAATAGAAATTAATTCTTTCATTCAATCAAAAATGCCTAAGCAAAAAAGAAGAAAAAAGGAAAATGATTTCTCTATGTATAGCTGGTGTGTTGCAGCAATGAATTCATTTATTTATTTTGAATTTGAGCTGAAAGATCTTCTAAAACATGGGTTGGTATAAATTAAAAAAAACTGCAGTCTTATTGCATTTGAAAAACTATAGCTGAATATTTGTTCATGAAAAACTGTATTTTATCTTTTTATTTTAATTTTCATTTCTAATATTTAATTAAATTATATATCTTTATAGATTTTAATTCAACAGAATGTATGAACTTTTATTCCATTCAATAGGATTATCTGGAGCATCTCCTCATTTGAAGAAGTAAAAAACTTACTTAGTTCTCAAGAACCAGGCACTGCTGTCATTCGAATTTCTCAAAATCATATTTCAAGTAAAGTTTCAAAAAAGCCATATGCTTCTTTATGTGTTCATGTCAATGCATCATTTTCAGGAAAAGGTAATTTTGTTTTATTTTATGTACAGTAGCTAAAATAAAAAGTAAACTGTCTTAATTTAAGCTACTTTTTGAAATTGTATGTCATTTATATTTTTCATATTTTCAAAGTATGAAAGTTCAGTCTAAATCCATGTCACTTTTTCAATACATTAAAAATCCAATGTATGTTAAAAATTAGAGTAGAGCTTTAATTGTTTGGTGCTATTTATTATTTAATTTATTGTTTATGTAGCTGATGTGTTTGAATACTTAATGAAGACTAAATATCATTCTTTTTTTTGCCTCAAAATTATTATGATATCCATTAAAAAATTATTACTTTAGAAGCTAACCCCCCTTACACATAGGCTTAATATGATCTGTCGCCTAGTTTTTTTTTTCACAAAAAATTAACAAAGTTTATATAAGGAAATACTGATTTTTCCTGAAGGTAACACAGTTGTTTTTTTTTACCTCTGGAGGTTGTTCTGCAACTTCTGAAATTATCCGAGGGTTTTCAGGTGGGGAATTTTTTTAATATAGAGGCACAGTATTTCACTTGCAGTTTTAGTCCTCAGTGAGCTTGTAGAAGCTGACTGATAGTTTTCCCGTTTTCCCAAGTGAATTACCATGTTCAATACAAAAAAATTAGCTAAATCTAAAAAATACTTTTTGAGAAATTGCCTAATTTTTCTCAAAAGTTTACAGTTTATTTAAGAAAATACAACTTCTGGTTAGATCTAATGGCATCCTGGGTTTCCTCAATTTTTTTTTTACTCCACGTGGTCGCTCTACATCCTCAGGATTTATCAGGAGTTTTAATGGGGATTTTTTTTCAATATATAGCTGCTCATATAAGGTACTGATCTGTCACATTCAGTTTTCACCCACTTGTCGTGGACTATGTGGTTGATTAGAGTTTGCTCCCTTGTTCTATTTTCCTGAAGTGACCACCTGCCAAATTAAAAGCCCCCTGTGGCATCGAAAGTGCCCTAACCAGCATATAACCACTTTGCTTTATATATTTATATATATATATAAATTCATGTGTAATATCTATATCAAAATGGTTGTTTTTGACATGAATGTTTTAACATTTGAAACTTGACTTGTCTTCCTCTGTAGAGCTATATTCTTTTGATAAAAATGCTGATGAGGTAAAAGACATCTATACATACCTGAATTCTTTAAGAAGCAATGCTGGGGAGCCCCTTGTGAAAACCATTTTACTTAATACCACTCAACTCTGCTGTGTACCTCTGTCAGTACTGAAGAGAAACATTCAAGGTATGGCCACAATATGAATGCAATTTAAATAATTTAATGAGCCAATATTAAAGCTTGTGATAAACTTAGACTAATATTCTCTCTGTATGTAAAACATTTTTAAGAATCTTTTTATTCCAGTTGAAGATACAAGGAAGACTAATAGATACAGAACTTGTTACATAGAACAAACAGTTGTTTTGTAAGTATGTTTGCTTTCATGAATCATTTCAACTATTTCTTTAACTAGGGTACTTACATGATTGCTTTCATGAATCATTTCATCTATTTCTTTAACTATGGTACTTACATGATTGCTTTCATGAATCATTTCATCTATTTCTTTAACTAGGGTACTTACATGATTGCTTTCATGAATCATTTCATCTATTTCTTTAACTAGGGTACTTACATGATTGCTTTCATGAATCATTTCATCTATTTCTTTAACTAGGGTACTTACATGATTGCTTTCATGAATCATTTCATCTATTTCTTTAACTAGGGTACTTACATGATTGCTTTCATGAATCATTTCATCTATTTCTTTAACTAGGGTACTTACATGATTGCTTTCATGAATCATTTCATCTATTTCTTTAACTAGGGTACTTACATGATTGCTTTCATGAATCATTTCATCTATTTCTTTAACTAGGGTACTTACATGATTGCTTTCATGAATCATTTCATCTATTTCTTTAACTAGGGTACTTACATGATTGCTTTCATGAATCATTTCATCTATTTCTTTAACTAGGGTACTTACATGATTGCTTTCATGAATCATTTCATCTATTTCTTTAACTATGGTACTTACATGATTGCTTTCATGAATCATTTCATCTATTTCTTTAACTAGGGTACTTACATGATTGCTTTCATGAATCATTTCATCTATTTCTTTAACTAGGGTACTTACATGATTGCTTTCATGAATCATTTCATCTATTTCTTTAACTAGGGTACTTACATGATTGCTTTCATGAATCATTTCATCTATTTCTTTAACTAGGGTACTTACATGATTGCTTTCATGAATCATTTCATCTATTTCTTTAACTAGGGTACTTACATGATTGCTTTCATGAATCATTTCATCTATTTCTTTAACTAGGGTACTTACATGATTGCTTTCATGAATCATTTCATCTATTTCTTTAACTAGGGTACTTACATGATTGCTTTCATGAATCATTTCATCTATTTCTTTAACTAGGGTACTTACATGATTGCTTTCATGAATCATTTCATCTATTTCTTTAACTAGGGTACTTACATGATTGCTTTCATGAATCATTTCATCTATTTCTTTAACTAGGGTACTTACATGATTGCTTTCATGAATCATTTCATCTATTTCTTTAACTAGGGTACTTACATGATTGCTTTCATGAATCATTTCATCTATTTCTTTAACTATGATTGCTTTCATGAATCATTTCATCTATTTCTTTAACTAGGGTACTTACATGATTGCTTTCATGAATCATTTCATCTATTTCTTTAACTAGGGTACTTACATGATTGCTTTCATGAATCATTTCATCTATTTCTTTAACTAGGGTACTTACATGATTGCTTTCATGAATCATTTCATCTATTTCTTTAACTAGGGTACTTACATGATTGCTTTCATGAATCATTTCATCTATTTCTTTAACTAGGGTACTTACATGATTGCTTTCATGAATCATTTCATCTATTTCTTTAACTAGGGTACTTACATGATTGCTTTCATGAATCATTTCATCTATTTCTTTAACTAGGGTACTTACATGATTGCTTTCATGAATCATTTCATCTATTTCTTTAACTAGGGTACTTACATGATTGCTTTCATGAATCATTTCATCTATTTCTTTAACTAGGGTACTTACATGATTGCTTTCATGAATCATTTCATCTATTTCTTTAACTAGGGTACTTACATGATTGCTTTCATGAATCATTTCATCTATTTCTTTAACTAGGGTACTTACATGATTGCTTTCATGAATCATTTCATCTATTTCTTTAACTAGGGTACTTACATGATTGCTTTCATGAATCATTTCATCTATTTCTTTAACTAGGGTACTTACATGATTGCTTTCATGAATCATTTCATCTATTTCTTTAACTAGGGTACTTACATGATTGCTTTCATGAATCATTTCATCTATTTCTTTAACTAGGGTACTTACATGATTGCTTTCATGAATCATTTCATCTATTTCTTTAACTAGGGTACTTACATGATTGCTTTCATGAATCATTTCATCTATTTCTTTAACTAGGGTACTTACTAATTACTATAAATTATGTTTGTTCAATTCTGTTTAACTACACAATTACCTACAAAGGTAGGAACTTATTTGTTAGACATTGTGAAGTTTTTTTGGAAATCATTACTATAATTAAGTTAAAAAGATTTTATTATTTCACAGTAGTTAAATTGTTCATACCTCTAATATTTGAGTAAAATTTCTTGTAGACAAATGGAAATTAATTTTCCCCTTTAAATTGTATACATATTTTAATATTTATCACAAAACTCAAGAAAATTAATTAAAACAAACTAGTTTTATATATATATTTAAGTATATAGATCTAATTTAAAAAGTTTTAGGATCTTTTATTTTTCAGTATTGGTCTATGCTAATTGATTTTAATTTTTTTTTATTTTTTTTTAAACTCAATGATGATTTGGGGATGAAGTTTACTTGGTTTCTTTTTACTACTTTACTTTAGCTGCCCCATTATAATTGCAGTTATATTGTTACTTACAGGGGAGTTGAAGAAAAGATGAAATCAATGGATTTAAATGTTGAGGTTAAAGAATCAGTGGAGGATTCTGGGATTCCAAGAAAGGTTGCAAAAATGCAGGAAGAGACTTCTAAACATTTGAATGGAAATTCAGTTAAAGAATTAAATCTTGATATCAAATGGTATAGTACATTTTTATTGTAATTGTGAATTAAAATAGCACTATTAAAAAGAGCTGTTCACAAACGTATATAAAAAGAAGCATCCTCAGCAAACATTTTATCTACCTCTTCTCCAAGGGTTTTGAACTTTGTTTTTGAACTCCAAACCATCCCATTACTAGCTAGAAATACTTTTTTTGTTTTTGAACTCTAGGCCATCCCATTACTAGCTACAAATACTTTTTTTTGTTTTTGAACTCTAGGCCATCCCATTACTAGCTACAATTACTTTTTTTGTTTTTGAACTCTAGGCCATCCCATTACTAGCTAGAAATACTTTTTTTTTTTTTGAACTCTAGGCCATCCCATTACTAGCTAGAAATACTTTTTTTTTACATTTGAAATGCTGTTGTGTTAATAGCAAGAAATATATAATCTGTTTTGACATCAGTCCCCCATTTTTAATTCATCATCTTTTCCCATTTGTGCCCAAGTCACATGGGGTAGATGAAATAGAGTTGATCTATTTCAATGACCTCGGCATACATGCCTTTGTTTACTTGTCAAAAAACCACACTGTCCCACCCACAGCAGTTGTAAGATCTATCACACAACCACACTGTCCCACTTATTGTTAAATTTTAAGCCTTATGTCAGTGCTCTACTTTAAAAATTCTTTTTTTTTCAAAAGCAGCCATCAAGATGGAATGGTGAATATGCACTCAGGAATAGGCAAGCTAGAGTCACAGCAATCTTTTGATAGAGATATGGACACACAACCAAGTTTTAATGGTGACACACAACAACATTTTGGTGGTGACACACAACAACATTTTGGTGGTGAGACACAACAAAGTTTTGGTGGTGACACACAACAACATTTTGGTGGTGACACACAACAACATTTTGGTGGTGAGACACAACAAAGTTTTGGTGGTGACACACAACAACATTTTGGTGGTGACACACAACAACATTTTGGTGGTGAGACACAACAAAGTTTTGGTGGTGACACACAACAACATTTTGGTGGTGACACACAACAACATTTTGGTGGTGAGACACAACAAAGTTTTGGTGGTGACACACAACAACATTTTGGTGGTGACACACAACAACATTTTGGTGGTGACACACAACAACATTTTGGTGGTGACACACAACAACATTTTGGTGGTGAGACACAACAAAGTTTTGGTGGTGACACACAACAACATTTTGGTGGTGACACACAACAACATTTTGGTGGTGACACACAACAACATTTTGGTGGTGACACACAACAAAGTTTTGGTGGTGACACACAACAACATTTTGGTGGTGACACACAACAACATTTTGGTGGTGAGACACAACAACATTTTGGTGGTGACACACAACAACATTTTGGTGGTGACACACAACAACATTTTGGTGGTGAGACACAACAAAGTTTTGGTGGTGACACACAACAACATTTCAGTGGTGACACACAAAGTTTTGGTGGTGACACACAACAACATTTTGGTGGTGACACACAACATTTTGGTGGAGACACACTACAAAGTTTTGGTGGTGACACACTGCAGTCAGCATACAAGGGAATAGAAACACACCAGTCATCTGATGAAGAAAGTTCTGAAAAGTCACCTGACAATGTACAAGAAATGTCCCCCGTGCCTTACACCCCTGACTGTTTAAATAATTTGTTGAAAAAATGCTCAAAATAATTTTAAACTATTGTTTTTAAAGTCACATTTTATTCTGTCAGTTTGAAGTTCAAAGATTTATAGATTTGAACAGGCATTTGTTTAGTATAATTGCATAAAGACTGATCATTGCTAAATTTTATTTCACTAAATATGAGAATCTTTTTAAAAATAATAATTTATTGTTATTACAATTTTATATAACTTTTTGTTAAATACTGAAATGTACACCTCTATCCAATCCACAGTATGAGTGAGTGCATCTGTTTCTGTGGTCAAACCTAATCTGTTTCTATGAACCTCCATTATTATACCTGTGTAAGGTAGCCATTAAGTTAAGTGGAATCAGCAACAGTTTAAGATGTACGGTCTGATCAGTGTGCCAGGTCCACCACCACCCCATTTCATTATACAGTAGATTTGTATGTTTGTCCTGGCCCTTCATATTTCAAGACTGGTAACGATCTCTGTGTTTTGGTCTCAGCTATTATAGTTTTATTATAGTTTTATTATATTTTATTATAGTTTTATTATTGTTTTATTATTGTTTTATTATTGCTTTATTATAGTTTTATTATAGTTTTATTATTGTTTTATTATTGTTTTATTATAGTTTTATTATAGTTTTATTATAGTTTTATTATAGTTTTATTATAGTTTTATTATAGTTTTATTATAGTTTTATTATAGTTTTATTATAGTTTTATTATTGTTTTATTATAGTTTTATTATTGTTTATTATAGTTTTATTATAGTTTTAATATAGTTTTATCATAGTTTTATCATAGTTTTATCATTGTTTTATTATTGTTTTATTATAGTTTTATCATTGTTTTATTATTGTTTTATTATTGTTTTATTATAGTTTTATTATAGTTTTGTTATTGTTTTATCATAGTTTTATTATGGTTTTATCATAGTTTTATTATAGTTTTTGACGGAGGTGAAGACAAACATCAGAATCATGATTGGATTTTGTCAGCGTGGAAGAAATAACCCTTAAGAAGGGTTAGGTTAATGCGCATCTGAAACAGGTCGGTTTGGTACTCTCAAAAGGGTTAAGATCCACTGGTGCATATAGAATGTTAACCATTCTATTAGTTTATATTTTTTGTGACGAGGACTTTAGATTTACATCAATGTTATACTGGAAGATAATGTTTAACCCTTAAGGATGTTTGTGAGAGTGGGAAATGTAAGAGTAAATAGGTTGGATGAGTCTGTGGTGTTTTTGTTGACCTGGTATGTGTCTTTGGTTCCTCTGTGAGTTTGGTCAGTTTTTTTTTTTAAAGTCAGGTGTTATAGGCTCAGTTGTACAGGTATCAAACTTTATTTGAAAGCTCAGTCTCACTTCAATGTTTGTTTTTTGTCATTAGTGTACATTATATTATTTCTTGTGTTTATAGGATGGTAGCCATTTCTTTGCTTATGTACCATCTTTTTTTGTGTTTTTGGAAAACTGTGAATAGTTAACTGATATGGTGTTTCTTTTAGTGCATGGTTGTTATAGTATAGTGTAGATAATGTAAAAATTAAATATTTAGTTATTATATTAATGAGCCTTTTGTTATAAATCTCTAGAGTATGTGTTCCAGTTTGTTGTTCTATTCTTATATCTATGGCTCACTGTGCTACACACGTTTCTAACTCAAAGCTTGCAGCTCACTGCCCTGTTTTCCTGGGAGTGTTATTTGCACACAGGCACAAAATTTCAATCAACTAAAAAACAATCAAATCAAATGGGTGCAATATTTATAAAATTTACTTTATTTATTGTTTCATAATTTACAATTTACGTCATCAAAAAAATGTTGCTAGTGTGTCATCTATATGACGTTCACAATTAAAATATTATTTACTTTCATTCTTCACAAATCAGCAATCTTCCATTATCACCCCCCCCCCCCCCAATTAAATATCACATTGTTTTTGTATGTTAACCTCATAACACATTTATACACAGGTAGTAATTGATATTTTCCCCATCAAATGTTTATTGTTAAATATAAAAAGCAGAATCTAGAATTAGTTGAGAAAAACAAAATGTTTTAAGAGAATAAATATAAGAGGAGCATTTGTTAAATAGTAATTTCCAGATCAACCAAAACTGATGCAGTTTTATTAAGCTTGTTTTTGGTTTTTGAAGGAAGAGTAAAAAATAGTTTACTGTAGTTACATACAGATTTATATTTTTTAGTCAAATGGCCATAAGTCTTATTTCTGTTTTAACAGCAGAGGTATGCCTAGTTATTGTTGCAGATACAGCAACAATTTTTTATAACATGCTGTTTCAATGTACAAAATTTACATAGGATAGTTGCAGTTTTGTGTTTTTAGTTACTTAAAGCATCTAGATGTTAAATATAAAGTGGACAGTCACAGGGACCTAAATTTCCCCAGACAGTAAACTTTTGTCACTGGTACAGAAGAAACCAAAGATACTTTACGCCAAAGTTTAGGGCCAAGCTCTCAATAAAAATAATAATAGATTAACCAGATTCCCTACACTGTGAGCTATGTCTGGGTAAATAAGATGTAGGCTTACTCTTTGATAATTTGGCTTGCATAATTTTATTTCATCCAAATAGATCTATATGTGTTTATAATTAGGCACTTGATTTTTACATGAAAGCATCTGGGAAAATTTCAAAACATGAAAAAAAAAATTATGTTCAAAACCAGGCAACTTATAGAAAATATGGAATGAGTCAGCAGAGGTATGAAACAAATTATATATTGTACTTTACCTAGGCTTTCTATAGAATGATTAACAGAACAAGCAAGGTGTAAGTATTTGAGACAAAAGGTAATGAAACCGTATAGTGGTGAATGTCTCTTTACACATAAGCAACAAGAAAAATCTAGATAAAAATTTAAGTGCTCAAAGGATGCTGAGATGTAGGGCCTTACCTTAACCCACTATCATATGGTTAGGGTTTAACTTTGTACATTTGTTTTCGTTTCTTTTTAATACTTTATTTAAAACTTTAACAAAGCATTACATTTTATAACTGTTACTTTTGTATTTCTTCTGTTATTTTACATACATTAACATTTTTTATAAAATGTCTAGGCAAAGTATGAAATAAAAAATGTTTCTAGATATTGCATACTAGAAACTGATGGTAACATATATATACATTTTCAAAGTTTGTGATGAAGTTGATGAAATAAAGTAAAATAAAGCGGGAGTGATCTACCCTAAACTTTCTCGAATATTCTTATATAACACTACGGGAGATGGCACCTCGGGATATAGACATGATTTAAATCCATTTTTAATTACTTAAACTTTTTATAATAGAATAGAAGCTTGTAGAAAAAAGAATTGAGCACCAAGTGAACACCAAAAAATCTGTATAATAGTGCGGAATATTATTAGTACTTTATAAATTCACATTCGTTTTTTTTGAGAAATCAGAAATAGCGTAAATTACTACTTCCGATCAATGGAAATTACTCAAAATTCTACAGAAGTCAGAGAATTAGAACTTTTACTTACATGTAAAATTTTATTTATCTACCTGAAACAGTAATCAAGTTATAGGCTTTTGAAAAACCAAAAATACAATAAGTTCCACTTCCAGTTACTGGAAATCACTGAAAAGTTGATACAGAACTACAAATTTGAGATAATACTTGTATATGAAATTTAATCAACCTAGCTGTAATGGTACTCAAGTTATCGTGTTCACAGACATGCATACACACAGAATTGCAAAACCCAGTTTTTCTGACTCGATTACGCATAGAACACAGACATTTTGATAAATCTGCATTTATTATTTTTGCCCGATTAAAGTAAGTCCCCTATACTATGAAGTATTGTGGTTTTTGTGCAATATTTTCTCTATATACTGTATATGAGAAAGTAAAAAAAAAATAAATGAAAGATTTTTAAGAGTAGAATAAATATATCTAACTAACAGTATTCAACTAAAAAAAGATCACTCACAACCTTTTTTCTAATTAAAAAATACATCTAAAAATCAAGTAAACTGTAATTATTTTGTAAAGCACTGTGTTTAAACTAGACCTTCAACAGAGAATCAGTTACCATCTAAGTTACCATCTAAGCTATGATGTCAAAGCAGAATCAGCTATTTCTTAATTTACTTTTCACAACCATCTTTTGTATACCCAAATAATTCTTGAGCTATGTGGATACCAATATAGTGCCTGTCCATTCACTGAACCAAGGGTACAAAGACAGAGTTAGTTGATTATTCACCCTCCATGTTTTATAAAACTCTGGTGCTGAGATTACATCTGAATTCCAAACTGAAATGAGGACAAGCCTGGCTTCTAGATTACTAGTTTAAAAGGCATAACTGCGGTCCCTCATACATGGGCGTGTTGGTGGCTGTACTGTTTGAATGTACAACCACATATTTTTCCAGTCATTTTATTTAATGGTTTGTCATTAGATCATCGCACAATATTATTCACAAAATTACTGAGTTTCAGAAACCATCATTGGAATGTTCATGGTTTTCACAAAACATTGGATCATTCCCACGTTCAAAGTTGATTATGTTTTTTGTTATCATTGGTTCAACATCAACTAAATCAGGTGGGAGCTCTACTGCTGAATATTTCAATTGTTTGGGTGGTGTTGCTAAACTTTCAGCATATAGGTTTGGCTCTGTAACTTTTTCATCTTCAGCATCATCCCTATGGTAAAAAAAATAGAAATAGTGTAAAGTTTTTAAAATAGTTTATAATAATAACAATCTATTTGTAGTCCTAGTTACTGTTGAGCAATTTTTGTCAAGTTATGATCATTGTTATTAGTCACAATTGTCTTTGTAACTTTGCTACATATATGCTATGATAACCACTAACACTTTCCATCTTTCTTTGTCTCTAGATATCTATTACAACTATATTAGAAGTTATTTTAAGCTGGTAGCTTTATACCAAATGATGTTTTAATATTGTATTATTATGAGAGCTGATACAGGTTATATAAACAGCATTTGTTCCAACTAAACCTTAACTTAATTAACTTTACTACCACATCCCCTTTGTAATAAACCGGGAGTGATCTCCCCAAAAACTTTCTTGAATATTCTTATATAACGCTATGGGAGATGGCAACTCGGATATAGACATGATTTTTAATCCATTTTTAGTGACTTAAACTTTTAAAAATAGAATAGAATCTCGTAGAAAAAATGGAATTGCACACCAAGTGAACAGGAAAACAATATGCGTATAGAAGTGCGGAAAATAAGTACTTTATAAATTCATATGCGTTTTTTAAGAAATCGGAAATAGTGTATTTTATTACTTACGGTCAACAGAAATTATTCAAAATTTGACTTAAAGCAGACAATTGGATCTTTTGATAGATCTGGATTTATAATTTTTGCCTGATCAAAATAAGTCCCCTATACTCTGTATATGATGAAGTAATGAGAAGTAAAACTGTGAAAACTGTCAAAATTTCATGTGAATTTTGTGCACGATTACAATACTTTCTCTATACTCTGTATACAAGAAAGTAAAAAAATATAACAAAGGGAAGCTACATTCATTTAATAGCATATGCTTTTAAACATATTAAAGTATATAAATATTAATTAATTTCAATATTAGATAGCTCTTCATCTATTAACTGTTAATTGATAAAAAATAAGAATCATTAAAAAAGTTTTAAAAAACCCACGTTTTCTGATAAAACTAAAAAGTAGAAAATAAATGCTATACATCACAATAATGCAAGCGATCACTCTACTATAAGCGATGAAAAACGTGGGGCGCCGAAGTAAAAGTTATATTACTATTGATTAGATAATACTATTGACTTTTATTAGGGAGCTTGTAGAGAGTCAACAGTATTAGAATCTGTAAGAAAATCACGGCGCCCCACGTTTTGGATCGCTTATAGTAGAGTGATCGCTTGCATTATTGTGATGTATAGCATTTATTTTCTACTTTTTAGTTCAATCAGAAAACGTGGGTTTTTTTTTAACTTTTTTAATGATTATTATTTTCTACCTTTTAGTCTTTGTCTGTTTGTTTGCATTAAAATCTTGCTATCGATTTTATCTTTTCACTTTTTTTTGGGTAAACGAAGACAACTCGTAAAAAGACAACTCGTAAAAAGACAACTCGTAAAAAACACGTGTGAATACGTTACTGACTAAAACACAGATTTGAACCCGTGTCGAGTGGGATAGCAATCGTGTGCCCAACCACTCGACCATATCGTCTCCCCCATACTGGCCACCAGTTGTTACGGTTGTTTGTACACAAATTACAGTTACTGGGTTATGTCCCTTTTTCCCCACGTTTTTACTACAACGAGGGTGGTAGTGGTAGTGATAGAGAGAAAGAGAGGGGACTGTAAGGAGGCGCTTGCAGCTTGTCTTCTAACGGTTCGCAGAGGAGAATTATATATATAGATTATATAGCGGTCTAAAATGCTCAATAAAATGTTTCCATGGATCAATTTAGTAATAATAACAATTGAATATTCAATTGTCATCCAAAACAAAGCTTCCCTGAAAATTTCAGCGCGCTAGCTAACTGGGAAGTGCAAGAAATTTCGATCGCAAGATTTGATTGGAAAGACAAACAGAGACGAAAGCAAGTTAAAGAAAACGTGGGAAAAAATGGTGAGGGACTTCATGTCACATTACTGGAAAAAACCAACTTTCAATACAGAATGCTGTGGGACATGATTTGAAATCAAGCAAACAAAAGAAGGACATTAAAAGAAGAAAACAACCTTACTTTGAACAAATGATCTCCACATGTTTAGATGTCTTGGTCAAGTAATCATTCATAGTAGCATTTCTAACAGCTGTAAATGACATTCAAACGATTTTTATTATAGCTTTAAAACACTATAAACTGAAAATTAATAAGTTAACCCAAAAAGTAGCTTCCAATACTTTTTTTAAACAGACATATCAAATCCTCAGAGTGAGAGCTTCAAGGATATTAAAATATATTTGAGCTGTATGATATGACAAGAAAAACAAAAAATAATGCTTACGCTTTGAAGATGGTATCAGTTCAGAAAGCGGAACATTATCACCAACTACACTTGTGATTAAGTTCTCAATCAAGATTTCTTTCTCTGAATTTTTTAGGGATGATAAGAAGATGTAGAGGTCTCTCACTTTTAAGGCTTTCTCAACAACAGCTGCAGATAAGAAGAGAATAAAAAATCACTTCTACGGCTTACTCAACAATAGCTGTAGACCAGAAGAGTAAATAAAAGGGCTTATTAATTTTTGTCATCCATACAATGAGACTATGTAAGAAAACTTGTAATAAAAGTTAGGTATGAGCAACAAGCACATGCAATAGACTATAGTGTGTTATATGAAATATTAGACAAAGATTCTAAAGGATACGACAACAAAGTTGATGTGAGAAGTAAAGGAGATTAAAGAAATGAATCATGGGAAAGGTTTAATAGTTTAATAAAAAATCAAAATATACTAGTCTAGGCATTGCACTGACTCTCATACTGTCTCCTATCAGACTGATAATTAACTAGCTTTAATTGTTTAACATATTTTTAGAGATTGCTAATACTTTTTTCCTCTCAAAACTAACAATTGCACATTTCAAGCTAATGTATCAACATGAAAAATGAATATACATAAAAATTGATATCCTAAAAATCATTTTAATTTTTAGTGGTAGTAAAGTGTGATTAATTTTTTTTAGCAATATCATAAAACAGTATTTAACATTGTTTGAACATACTATTATTATTATAGTTACTGTGAACTGTAAGTGCAGCATATGGAGATATAGAATCTTCTTTCTCAACATTGTTGAGTGAAATCCTAACTATTGCAGTACCAACAGACTTTCCTTTCAGCAGCTTTACACACTGTCTGTGTGATAGGAAGCTCCATAAAACCCTGAAATTATGCAGACATTACAGCGTAAAAGACTTCTTCCTATCTCTTCTTCTTTGTTCTTGATAGATTTTTTTTTATAATTTTAGGACATTCAAATTATATTTAAAAAATGGTTCAACATTTTAAGACTTTATACAATTAATTTTCAATAAGTTTTTTTGCAAGTAATAACTGCAGTAAATGAAACAGAAAACAAGCCATCTAGGTTTAGTGATAGGGAATAGAACAGGTTCACATGCTTGTTTTAATACACTGGTACTTTGACATATGATTTCCCTGACGATTTACTTTGAAATATGAGCAAAGTTTGAAATACAAGAGTTTTGCATTGACAGCTAGTGAACAGCTAGTTATACCTTTGTCATTTTTAAATACATTTTATCATTAAAAACGCAAAACAAAAACAACAGGGGTAGAATTATGGGGGCTGGAACTGATTAATGGCATTTAAATTAATTTCAATGGGGAAAACTGTTTAGAGATAAGAGCAATGTGATGTTCAAGCAACCTTGCCGAAAAATTTAAATGTCTTGAGGTACCACTGTAGAACTTACCCTTTTTGCGCATAGCTCTGGAACAAGTTAATGGTGTTAAATGCTGCTTCCAGCCAGGTATAGCATGAGAATGTATGCTCCCCATTTGTGTGATTACCTTGCTTTGGCATTTTCATTTGAAGTAGCGAGTGCATGTCAATCATATTATTGTTCTGCTTGCATTTTTTCAATGCTAGAAAACATAAAAAGTTTGACTACAAAAATGATTATATTTTAAGTTAGAAAACAAAATAAAAACTCTGCCATAAAAGATGTGTATTAAGATATATTTTATATATATATTGAAAATGACAGTGGCCACTTTACCCCATGACCACATGGGGATAGCGAGCACTTACTTTACTAAATGACCACCCCTCCCCAAGATAAATTTAGTTATAAACAGGTACTTACATTTTAATATGTTTTGCAGTGCAAGAACATTTTCTTCATTTAAATAAAGATCACTATTGATATATTTTAGTTTTGCTTGTATCATGGCCAGCAGCTGACTGAAGCTCATCTCACTGGGGCACTTGAATGGTGTGCTGTACTGTGATGACATAATATGTTGTTTATAATTTTCAGATTAGCTGCTTGCTTCAATTAAGAAAAGGAGAAAACGATGAGAATTGAGTTTTGCCTTTCTCAAATAAAAAACAGGACACATCTTGTATGAAAACACTTTTGTAAACAATTATTCCGCATTCACACAAATGTAATCTAATACCATATCCATATCACCTATTTTTCTAACATGCATACATTTTCATTTCATTTTCTGTCTTTTTTTAAAAATGCACTAATACTCTAATATTTTTATGCTCATTCGGAGCAAATGTAATTAAGAAAACACAGGGTAACAAACACTAACCAACACAAAATCACAATGAGAAGCATCTCCACCCCCCTACGTCTAACCTTACCAGATCTTTCTGGATCCAACAATACCAGACAACAGCACCTGTGTATGGCCATATTTGGTTGCTTCCAGTTACAACAGTGAAGGGAAGGGAAAGGCACTAGAAGACAAGAAAAAATGGAATTCAATTTTAAGTAACAGCTGATCTAATACTATTTTAAGTTTTAACAAAACAAATATACAGGTAAACTTGGTTTAACGTTTGAGCTTTTATGGAGTTGCTATGACTTCTGGTCTATAGTTTTAACACAGCATTTGAATGTTAGTTCTTCTTATGAATTTTTAAAACTACAATACAGATGTTTTGATAAGTTACATGTTAAACTATTTTTTTAAAGAAATATTATGTTATTTATACCATTGAGGCAGCTTCTCAATTTTGTTTTAAGTTATGAGATCTAGTGTCTGTTTTACACAATAGAAAAATATAATTTAGAAATAAAACTCCTTAGGAGAAAAAGAAGAGACAAAAATTACATGTAAATAGTAGATGATGATGCTGAAGATATAGAAATTCTAGCTACCATTCTAGTTTTTTCATTGTGAACACCCTAGTTTAATGATCGTTAACACCCTAGATTTAATCACAGTAGCTACCCAAATTTAATTTATAGCTACAAACCTGGTTTTAATCTGAAAAATATAAACAGACAACATAATTATAGTGAAAAATACTAGAAATGATTGGATTTAAACTAACAGTAAAAAAATAAACTACTTTCATAGGAATATACCTCAATTTTAATTTCACTTTCAAATTTTTCTGGTAGTGCTGTGAAGTTTAGTACTATTCCAATTCTGTCAAAATGTGCGTAACTCTTGGGTGAAGTTCTTCCCTTGCATCGCTGATAATTCTCTATGTTGACATTAAGTTCAACCAGGATGCCTTGATCAGATTCAGACATTTTTCGTTCTGATGGCTGCTCTACCAGCATTGGTGGTTGCTGTAATAAACACATCTGAACTTGACAGTGTCAACAAATTATTTTCAATGACCACTAGCATTTACTTTCATGTTGATCTACTGCAGCTACTAACAGTATCCATTCTCTTAACTACAAGCTACTACATTTGCAGCAAATTATTTTCCTAAAATGTTTAAAAGCCAACATTTGCACTTATTTACTTTTTCAATTGTAAATTTAAATCTAGGTGTTTTATTTTCATTTTAAATCATAAAAGTAAAGTTCATCTAGAAATCTATAGCTGGTGACCCATAGAACCTAAATGATGATGATGACATGAAATAAAATGTTGAGCAGAAAGTTTAAAGCTGTCAGACAGAACAAAAAGTGTACCAGTACCTTCTCTCTAATGTGTTCGTCATGTGATTTCCATTGGCTTTCATGACACAAGAATATTTCAAGGGGCCCTAGGCAATGTGTGCCTTGTTTCATGCCAAAAACTCTAGAAATATAAAGAAAAGTTGTGTAGCCATGTCAATGATATTTTTAACACCTACAATGTAAAAGACTGCATAGAGCTGACATGAAATAATTAGGCTATGTGACAAAATAATTAAGCTATGTGACAAAATAATTAAGCTATGTGACAAAACTGTTTGAAAACTTCAGGGTAATATTAAATAAATGAAAATTAAAAAGATTAAAAAAATATTTGGTCCCATAAAACAAAAAATATACATCGTATCTTAGCCCTGGCAAAACAGGGCACATACTTTTCAATTTTTTGTTCCATTCACCCATGTCTAGTTATGTGAATAATCCATCAAACAAGTATTATTTATAAACACTAAACAGTAGTCAGTATTGAGTGGCTTTTTTCCTCAGAAGTGTAGTTCTATAATATGCTGGTGTGTTATTTTAATGATTTTTACTTCATCAGATAATAAGAATTATTTTATTTTCACTCATGCTTATCTTACCACGGAGTTACTAATTTTATTAATATAGATAGGCCTACTGTGACGTTGAATGGTTGTTTTTAAAAAATGCAAGAACTGTTATTAAAGTTCATTTTGTTTGCATAATAAATGATGTTGTCTTTATAATACCCCTGTCAGTATATTGTACTAGGGTAAAAATTGGGGGGACAAGTTGTTCAGACCCTCGTTACTTTGCCAACGGTCCGAGGTCAAGATCACGTAGACGTCGCACTCAGCTGGCGGAATATGATTAGTCAGCTATCTAACACAACAGTATCGCGGTTGCAATGTCCATTGTTGAAATATTCTTGTACAATCTAGCAGTATATTCTAGTAGTAGAACTATCAGTTGAATGAACTTGTGCCTCACTGATGTGTTTCACAATGTGTTTCCACAATGTAGTTACACCACCAGTTTTCTAAGCTAGGGTCTTAGCATACAATTTTTCTTAGCAAGTGTCTTCACATACGAGTTTCCAAATACGATCTTTAAACTCCAATTTGGGTCTCCATACAAGAATCTTCAAAAACGGGTCGTTGAGTCTTGATGTTGATGTTTAAGCTGTCTCCACCAAAATGTTGGGCTGCGAGGGGGGTTTGAGCTGCCCGATTCAATACCATTCGTTCAACATACGTGTGCACCAATATTCACTTGCACCAACCTATATTGAGGATATGCATTATAACAATCCAGAAAAAAAAAGAAAACCACCCAGTTCATAAGCATCCATGAAAATCAACATCAGAGCCCTCCCCCCTCCCTAACAATGTGGATGACATAAATGGATGAGACTTTAGTATAAAACTACCTACCTTATACTGAGCTTAAATGAATCTGAAGTCTTTTTTTTATCTTTGACATCTGTTACTTTTATACAACAGGGTGGTTGTTGCTCAATAAATTGTCCACTTTGATTATATTAAAAAAAAATTAAAATGTAATTAAAAATGGCTAAGAAAAATGTAAACATATTTCAAAATGATTGTTTCTGTGTTTTACTTATGGTGTTTTAATAGAAAAGTAACATATAACATATGGTTACTACCATAGGTAGCTGGGAGCTACCACTGATTAGTTTAATCATCAAACGAAGATAACCAACATATAATTAACAGAAAATGATATCTTAACAGTGGCTGATACATACAAATAAATTGAACAACACAAACTTACTTTGCCTTAAGAGTTTTGTTTAAAGAATGAAGGCATGTTTTTATTTCTTCACATGCTGTACTGGTCTTAACTAAGGTGTAAACATTTCCGCAACTCTCAACTAAGGTGTAAGCATCTCTGAAACTGTTCAACACAAAATATAGTAATAATAATAATAATAATACCTCGAATGTAGGGAGATATTTATGAAAATTATTGACATTTTATAGCATTCTTATTTTTAAACAGTTTACCACTATTGAGAAATTAAAGTTACATTTCGTTTAGTTGTTGGTTTGTTGTTTCAAGCTGCTCCACTGCAGCTGAGCATTCAGTCAAACCAGCATGTCTTAAAGCTTGGATCCTTCTAAAAGAAACCATCATTTCTTTCAAAGAGCTTTCAAGAGAATGTACATTTTCTATGAAGAATGGCTTTGAATAGAAGAGAGAAACAAAAATATTTAAACGCTGAATTCAATTAGAAAGTTAAAATAAAAAAATTCATAAAAAATGTTTTAATAACAATCTTTTATGTAATAATGCACTAAAAAGGAGAAAATAAATGATTACCAACATGTTACCAACACTTAGGCGTTAAATATTACGGTGAGTGATTTACCTACACTCAAGGCATGCTGGGCAGTTGTGTAGGTAAACCCGTGTCCCGATATTTATGATCCAAGAGCAGGCATTGTTTACATTTGAATAACTTAGTTTTAAAAAACAAGGTCACGCGCCTAAGAATATGGGTTTGGTACGCATTAGTGAAACTCTACTTATATATTTTGTCAGACGTTCTTTAATCCCCACGCGGGGACAGGCATGCTAGTTTTAAAATAAAATTTTCTTTTAGTCTAAATAGAGGCTTAAATTACAAATGGAGCGATTCTTTTTTGTTTATACATATTTTTATAAATATTTTAAAAGCTAAAATAAAACGCTTGTTGTCTCTCAGAATTAAATCTGTTAGAAAAGTCTTAATTAATTGAGTAATACTCACCAGTTGTGTGGAGATAATATCCTGCTCCTTGAAAGAAACTAATTTAAAAAATGTTCATTAAATAATGTATTTAAATTAATAGTTTGACATCTTATTGTTAAATATTGTTATATAGTAACATTTCAAGTTGTAAATATTTTATTTAACCTACAATTTAACAAAAAAAAACAAAAAACAAAAAAAACAATGTATTTTCTGGCAATATACCTGATGGTCTTCCACACTCTGTTGTTCCTTTAAATTGTTGCTTAAAAAACAGAGTCTGAAATAAACATATTAAAAAGGAATTTAAAAGTTCGTTCCATAATTTTTTTTTATATTTCGTGCTAAAAAACAATTTTCTAAAAACAATCTTACCAAATGTGTATTTATTTCTCTGATCAAGTCACAGCACTTTTCCTGAAGTTTTTTGAAACAACTCCATTCATCCGACTGATTAAAAATAATGGTATAAAATTATTGAAAAGCAATACATTATTTTATCTATATCACATTTTACAATGAGACTGATGGATTTTACAGTCTGCTAGGTTATTTAGCTCTTGTAAGTGAAACAACGCTAAAGCCGATAATCAAAGAAAGTGTAGCAATTAAAATACAAAGTTAAAAAATAGACAAAACCTGCATATTAAAAATATTGTGGAGTTTATCATGTATGAAATTAGGCCCACCTTTTCAATATTCTTTACATCTTCTTCCGTTTGACTAATTCCATTCTATTTTAAAAAAAAGATCAACACTGTAAATAATTATGAGCAGGAATACAAATTTCAATAAATCCCACATTTTTAACCAATTTAAAAAAATGTGAATAACAATTTGATGTTATAGAGACTGAAAGTTTCTATTATTTTGTAGTAATTCTCATCCTATCCCTAGATCCTAACAGAAATACCAGCAAAAAGAATTTTTGATGTGATACAGTATTGATCTGTCCAATAAAAATTAGTAACACCATTTAACTGTATAATAACTGATATAAAAATTAAAGACATCTTTTAATAATTGAGTCTTGATGATAGAGCAGATGAAGCAGATTCCTTCAGATGGTGTGATCAGGTTGTGTGGGCAAAAAATATTTTGTTGCACTTACTTTCCTAAATATTATCAGGTACCCATTTGTGCTAGGAAGATATTTTACAGACTTTGTTGAATACAAAACTTTTGTATCATTAAAGTAAACAGATAAAAAAAGTTCAGAGTAGTTGGATATAAAAGCTGTTATGTAATTCTGAAGGTAGATATTTGTTTTACGCAGTATAAAACAATTAATATTATTTATAAAGCAGAAAAATTACATTGTACTGGACATCTTCCACTTTGCTTGACCTCATTTTCTGTACAGAAATAGAAAATTGAGTAATACTTAGTTGAAAATCAATTATGGAATCCTACTTTTTTATATATCACTAATTTGAACATTTTGTGTTTTTGGCTTATTTTTTCTTGAAACTAGTGTCTATTAAATAAAAAAAAAAAAACTGTGCTAATTTTATTAGTAAAATCAGTTAATAAAAATTTGATTAGTAAAACCAGTCAATAAATCTGCAATTAAAATAATTCATTATCATCTCTCAAGCCTTTTCAACTTGTCCCTGGCTTTAACTTCTGCCTGAAAGAACATTAGGACACCCTCCTTAAACACTATCTCCATGATTCTTTAGGCCTCCTTAATTATTTCTTGCTTGGTGGGTCCATTTAAGCGGAGTCTTAGACAACGCATCTGCTGTCATTCTTTGTATATGACCACATTGTCTGTGCCTGATGACCACTGTTCATGGATGGATGAGTTTTCACCTTTCTAACTCCCCAATGAGAAGGTACTTGGGGGTCGTCCATAAATGACGTCACACTCACAGGGGGGTCCGTAATTTTTTGACGGTGTGACGAGCAGGAGGGGGGTTCAGATGGTATGACCCTTTTGCATTATAAAAAAGCAATGTTAGAAAACGAATTTTAGACATAATTTCACGATTTAGAAAACTGTTTTAATAAAGTGCAATAGCAATTGATTAAAATACTCTACTTTGTACTTTGACAGAGTTCAGACAAGATTTTGGAAAAATATCGATGTTTTAAGAAAAATTCAACTGCAATTTTGAGGGGGGGGGGGTGTAGGCTGAGGTGTGACATCATTTTAGGGGGGAGGGGTCTGGCTTTTTGTGATGATGTGTGACGGGGGGGGGGGGGGGGAGAGAGGTGGAGAGGTAAAATCGTCAAAAAAAGCGTGACGTCATTTATGGATGTCCCCTTGGCCACATGATTCTCAATATTTACACAAGCTCTTATTTTGGGAAACTTCTCAATAGCATTGGTGGTGTTTCAACAATCAGAGCCATACATAACTTTTAAATATATCTATAATAGAATTTTCTTTCCTAATCTCCATATATTCCTTAGCATACCAAGAATTTGCAAACTTTCTCCAATCTTTTTTTTTACCTCTTTGAAACAGTCTCCATAATTTGTGACTCCACTTTACAAATAGGTTAAATACCCAACTTGAAAAATTTTGGGAAGTTTTTGACATTCTACACCAAGCAGTTCTGCAGATTCTATCTGCTCCTAGGGCCATTCTCTTTTCTTCCTGATAGTTACCTTAACTTTTTTTAGTTATCCCACATATTTATTTTTCTAAATTCACCATCTTCTGTAATACCTATAAGATTTACTGGATCTGGTTGATTAAGAACTGCCTGGAAGTTGATGATTAAGTAGAAAATTATAAAATTTTACACATTTAAAATAAAGTTCAAATAAAAATATGCTTACAGCTATTGAATTAAGATCCTCCTTAGCTGCAATCCCCAATGTATGAAACATTTTAAGAATATGTATGACACTTTCATCTTGATGCACATCTCTCAAAGATAATCTGTGTGTGTTAATATAGACATAATGTAGTGTCTCTAATAATCCAAATTTTTCAAATTAAAAAATGTTAATTTTTAAATCTGGCCTCAATTGTAAATAAAAATCTTCAGGACTTATTATTTTTAATTAAAAATACTTTGAATGGAAAAGCTGTGCCATCCCATTAAAAAAAAACTGATAAGTTTTTTAAGCAATTACCTTTGTAATGGTTGGAAAAAATTAACATCTTCAAGTAATTTATTAAGACTTATTCCATTCGAATGCAATGTTTTAGCAAATTGTGAATACTCAATCACAGCATTGCCATTGTCTGCTTCAATGCTCTCTTCCATGATGAAAGCCTATAAATTCTATATGGTTATAAAAAAAGGTAAGCATGTTTTAACATAAGCATTTAATCAGTTATTGCTGTCAAACATCATAAACATATTATAGACCTACAACAGATGACAGGTGATTTCTATGCAGTTACTATTAGACTATAAATAGACTAAATTAGGTAACTTTGTATAGTTATGATTATAAAGGTAATTTTTTAAAATGATGACAGTGCTTAATTAAAGTTACAAATAAAAATTTAAAAGCCCTGGCCTTAACTATTTAAAAAAAACCAACTAATAACATATTAGTTTAATATTAGGGAGTGGCTATTCGGACCCAGGTCCTTATAGCCATGGCCACTATTCGGACCTGGTATTGAGTTTGATCTATAGTTACACACTTGTTTATAACCTGTATTAAAATTATACCTTTTTATATTTATCTGATGTTTCTTGTGGATTTGTTAGTATTTTTATGTGTTTTATTGTGTGTGTTAATTAGTTTTGTTGATTTGCTAGTGTTAGGTCCTACTATTTCTAACTGTAACAGACTGTACTATTGGGTATGATTATTATATTGTATTCTAACATGAAGTTGCATGAATGTAGAGTACCTGGCCAACGGAAACATCGTGTGAGTGACTCGTCATGTTTTTACATGCTTTTTGTGAGATTGCTCACTGACATAAGGGGGGAGAATGTAAGGTATAAAAGGGGAGTGCAAGGTGAACTAGGGGGGCTTGCATGTATAGTAAGATGTAAGATGTCACCACATCAATTTGTTTCTAGACTATAATATCATAGTCGTTTCTTCTACTATGGATTATCGTCATTATTCTTGTGGATCTATGTAAATAAATTTTAAAGTTAAAAAGCACTGTTGATCGTGTTCCTAAAAGAAAGAACCCACAATAACGACTGTATTGTCATATCAACAAAAATACGTGTTATTACACTAACTACCCTATATTTAGACTATATTCAATGTAAGACGTCGTGCCTCTTGTCTGTTACCGGTTTGGAACCTAACTAAACTGGGATATCCCTTCCCTTGTTCCTGGTTGATCAAAAACAGTCAGCGAGAAGAAAAGTATTTTAAGTAAATTTGTAGTTCTGTCTCGATAGTTGCTTTGCAATAGCTTTTTTTAAAAAATTGTTTTTCATAGATTGTATTTCTTTTCTAGATTCAGATTTTTAAATATGCCCATTCTAAATGTCGTTTCATCTATGATCGCCCACTCACGTTTTTTTTGTCAGAGAGAGAAAAATACCAACATTGTCTAGCTAGTGTCACTGTGAGTTCACATTGGTTTAGATAATAGTGTAAGCGTATAGCACACGTGTCGCAGCAATACCATTACAATCTGAGATTGTTGAGATTTGTTGTGTCCCCCCCCCCCCCCCCCCCCCCCCCCCCCCACCCCCAACCGAGCAAGATGAAAAGCTTATTTGGAGTCATTGTGATCGAGTTCATATGTTATATTTTGCATAATATATTATAGCTGCTACCACGCATTTGAGATATTAGTGTTCAAGAAAACAGGCCAGGACCTCTAGACTGTAGCCTACATTTTATTTATTATATATATTTATTAGTCCAAAAATATTTTTTTACAATAATTTTATTTTAAATTTGGACTGATATGCCATATGAAAATAAATTACGTTAAACAGAAGAAAATTTAAAAAAATAAAGCACAAATTTACAATGCAAGCTCAACATTAGCTCGGTCAGAGAAGTTTAATACCATATGAAATAGTACTCAAAGTAAAATTATGTGTTTTCTATATAACTGGAAGAAACTCTGCTTGACATTTGTCAGGAATGATAATTTGATATCATGCATTTAAAGCAAAATCTCAAGACATTAAGTTATTATAAGACCTATAGAATTATAAGAAAAAAATCACAACAACAGAAAAGATATAGTTAATTTAGGCCTTAGGACCTATTGTTTACAATTATCATATTATTATTATCTTAACAAATTTATAGGCTGGTCCAATTGAATAGCGGCCGAGTCTATTATAATAGGCTAAATTATTATAACAACACCGGGGTCTGGATGGATGCCAGATGCAGCCTTATAATATTACTTAATAATGATAAAATAAGACATTAGGCCTACTAAACTACTAAGGTTTAAGTTAATTTTAAATTTTAATAATAATAATAATTTAGAATTGGCTGGAATACTATTATTAATAGTAGGCCTAATAGAACTAATAATAGGCTACTAATAAAATAGGGCCTATAATTTGCCTATACTATACTATAGCCAGTATAGCTAAAAATGGCTAAAATTTATTTAGGCCTAAATATTATTATATTAGTAGGCTTAGGCTTAAGGCTTTGCTTATGGTACTCATTAATATATTTTAGATCTCGATTTAGAATCTTTTAGTTACCTGCACACTTATATCTAGATCTAGTCTAGATCTAGATCTATAATCTATATGGAGACTTTAACCTGTTTAAACTCTGGTTAATACATAAGTTACACTTGATGAATTAGACTCAATAACTCTACTGGCCACCGATGGTTCTTGAATCTTGAAGGGTTAATATTTTTCTCAAAATCTAAGCCAAATAGAATATACTTTTTTTAACATTTGCGCTTATAAATATACCGTGCATCCTAATGTTTTATTTTATAGTTTATTAGACTCAAGCTTATGCCTAGATCTACTTCTAAATATATTATATGTAATTACCTAATTAAATGCATCAACAACAACAAAAAATAATATTTTTATCATCCCAGTGATTTGTTTTTCAAACTGGCAATAAGGTTACAGTATTTCTGAGAAACAAGCCATACTAATATGTCAAGGGGTCGTCCATAAATGAAGTCACACTCGAAGGGGGAGGGGGGGGGGGGGAGAGTAATTTTGTGGACGGTGTGCGATGAGGGAGGGGGTCAGATGGTGACGTCACAATTTTACATTATAAAATAGCAATGTTAGAAAACGTTATTTCGCGTTTTAGAAAACTGTTTAAATAAATTGCAATCCAATAGGAATTGATTGTTGTGAACACACGGACACGCCTTTCGGGTGATCAGTGTTTCTTCCAGACTTTTTTCTCCGGGGGGGCACTTGAAATATTCGGGGGGGCGGTAAACTTTCTTCGGGGGGCGGACACTGTTTAAAAGTATATATTTTCTATATAAATTATATAAATTTCATTCCGTTCGGGGGGGCGGTAAAAATTTTTCGGGGGGGCTTTGCCCCCCCGAAGAGATGCCTGGAAGAAACTCTGCGGGTGATCCGATGCGTAACGCAACACATAAGACATATGTCCCCAGGCGCCGACCTTAGGGGCGCCAAAATGGGTTGAAAAAATAAATTGAAAGGTTGAGGGGGTGGCAAATCGAAATCTTGAGGGGAGGGGGTGCAAATCGAAAAGTTTGTCCCCGGGCGCCGGGAAGGGTCGCTACGCCTCTGACATATATATATATATATATATATATATATATATATATATATATATATATATATATATTATATATATATATATATATATATATATATATATATATATATATATATATATATATATTATACATATTTTTTCACACATTTGAATACGATATGGGTATTTCGTTGACTGGTTGATTGTGTTTAGAAACAGCGATCATATGCACAACATAATTTAAAATTTAATTTACACTCCACACACCCACAGAAATGCATTTTTGCATTTGCCGAAGCTTCTCAATATCTGTTTGCCGACAGAGCGTAACAAAGCAGGCCTACATTTTACTGCTATCATCGAACCCTAATTCGAATATTGATCAGGGCTGATGTGAACTTTTGAGGTGAGGGGTTAGGACTAGAGTAATTAGGCAGAGGCGTAGCGAAGGGGGGGGGGGGGTACATATGTCCCCGGGCGCCGACCATAGGGGGCGCCAAAATGG